GGTGAAAACGACAAAGCTATTGTGAAAACCATAAATATCTTACATGTCTGCTAGTTTCATATACTGGAATATATGTATATAAGGATTATTTTAATATTTTTTTAATATTTATGAACATTTTTAGTTGTTCATAAGCTTCAGTTTAATGTAATTGAGTTAACATATTTATGGTATGGGCAGCTATTAACGGAGCGAAACAAGCTTGTTACCAGCGTACGTCAAGTGCTCGCTCAGTGTGGCGTGCCACCGAGTCTCCATGAAGCCTTAACGACTTCAACCGAGTTCTGGACGGCTGAAAAAACCCTTCAGTTTCTGGCCCAGCAGGAGTGTATGAAGTCTGAAACTGGTGGTGTTGACTGGCCTGATGAACTGAAGTCTCTTCTCACGGACGGTGAGTTGTATGACTGTCTCTTATACACATCTAGATGTGTATAAGAGACAGCTCTTAGAACTGTGGTTTAAATCCCAACACAATATAAGAAGAGATCACAATAAATATTGTTGCAAGCAGTCCTACTACAGTGGAATCCAAGCTACCTAAAACAAAGAGGCAAAGTGTAGCGTTCGCAAGTATAAATTTCATTAATTTTAAAAGTATTTTTAGCGCATTTTCTTATTTATGAAAAAAATGCACTATTGTGCTCGCCATGTCCGTCTGTCTGTCCGTCCGTGACTTCATGTTTTCGTCGCTCTCTGTCACACTCTGCAGTGAGTACTGAGTTATATTTTTCTAAATGTGCCAGTATATCATTTTGAGTACCCAGTAACTAATTGTTTTAATAACTATGCACCTTATTAATACTAAATTTGCTTGCATATCTTTGCTACAACAGAGTGGCAAAGATAAATACAGATTCAANTGTGTGGTTCTGAATGGTATTGTATATTGGTTGTGTGGTTCTGAATGGTATTGTATATTGGTTGTGTGGTTCTGAATGGTATTGTATATTGGATGTGTGGTTCTGAATGGTATTGTATATTGGTTGTGTGGTTCTGAATGGTATTGTATATTGGTTGTGTGGTTCCGAATGGTATTGTATATTGGTTGTGTGGTTCTGAATGGTATTGTTTATTGGTTGTGTGGTTCTGAATGGTATTGTTTATTGGTTGTGTGGTTCTGAATGGTATTGTTTATTGGTTGTGTGGTTCTGAATGGTATTTTATATTGTTGTGTGGTTCTGAATGGTATTGTATATTGGTTGCATGGTTCTGAATGGTATTCTATATTGGTTGTGTGGTTCTGAATTGTATTGTTTATTGGTTGTGTGGTTCTGAATGGTATTGTTTATCGGTTGTGTGGTTCTGAATGGTATTGTTTATTGGTTGTGTGGTTCTGAATGGTATTGTTTATTGGTTGTGTGGTTCTGAATGGTATTGTATATTGGTTGTGTGGTTCTGAATGGTATTGTATATTGGTTGTGTGGTTCTGAATGGTATTGTATATTGGTTGTGTGGTTCCGAATGGTATCTTATATTGGTTGTGTGGTTCTAAATGGTATTGCATATACTTGTTGGTCGAGTTGTGTGGCAGAGTCTCAGTAATTCAATGTACACTTGCACGCCTGAAGATGGTGAATTTGATACGTCAGTGTAGATATAACTATTCCTATAATTCTGCATATTCTTTCGTTTCTAGGTTGTACAGAAATTGCAAAAACGTCCATTTGCAATTTCTATATCATTTGAGAATTTATACTTATTGAAGAAACCATTGCTTTTATCCTATAAAGTAAACAAGAATTTTACCTATAACTATTCCTTTAATTTATAATTCTGGCTATTCTTTTGCCTCTAGGTGGTACAGAACCTGAAAAAAAAGTCCAGTTGCAATTTTGTAAGCATTTGAGAATTTATTCTTGCTGAATAAACCACTAATTTTACCCTAAAAGAGAATTTCACCCTATAAGAGAATTCTACCCTAAAAGGGAATTCTACCCTAAAAAAAGAATTTTACCCTGAAAAGAGAATTTTACCCTAAAAGAGAATTTCACCCTAAAAGAATTTTACCCTAAAAAATTTTTACCCTAAAATTTTTTTTACCCTAAAAGAGAATTTTACCCTATAAGAAATTTACCCTATAAGAGAATTTACCCTATAAGAGAATTTACCCTAAAAGAGAATTTTACCCTAAAAGAGAATTTTACCCTAAAAGAGAATTTTACCCATTTTGTAGACTGTTCCAGTCCTGTGGAGAACACTAGTGACCTGAGCCTGAGTGCGCTGGGTGCTCTGTTGTGGTACCTACAGCGTTGCTACCTGCACGACCAGCTGCTCAGTCAACGCTTGTTCCAAATTTATGTTCCTCCTGATCTACGAGACCAAATATCATCACTTGAACCTGCAGCACAGCAACGTGTTTTCTTCAAACAGCGACACATGGTAAGTCTTATTTATTCTCCATTTAGATCACTTTAAATGAATTTATTTTGTAATTAAAAGTTTAGCACTGATTCTAGGTTTTTATTGTATTAAAACATAACAATACTCGCGAATTATTCTGCACTCAGGTAAGTCTTCTTTATTTTCCATTTATCCATTTTGATAACTTTTATGGAATTTATTTTGTAATTAATAAGTACTCTTAATTCTCCCTTTATCCATTTTGCTAACATTTAATGAATTTACTTTGTAATTAAAAGTTTAGTACTTAACCTAGGTTTCCACATTTATGGAACTTATTTTGTAATTAAAAGTTTAGTACTTAACCTAGGTTTCCACATTTATGGAACTTATTTTGTAATTAAAAGTTTAGCACTTATCCTAGGTTTTCGTTGTATTAAAACCTAACAATACTCATGAATTTTTCCATAATCAGGTAATCGATGGCAGTAGCTTGACTAACTTGGAAGTTCTACGCAACAACAACACTGGAGACGTGGCTGGCTCTCTCTGCTCACTGCTGGACTACACTGCTACACCTATGGGCAAAAGGTATTGAAATTTATCCAGATATTGCTTGATATATCTGAATAAAGCTGTTTTATGATAGATCTGATATTTCTTGATATATCTGAATAAAGATATTTAGAGATATTTCTTGATATATCTTAATAAAGCTGTTTTATCACTGCTACACCCATGGGCAAGAGGTATTGAAATTTATCAAGATATTTCTTGATATATATCTTAAATTATTTATATTTATATATATCTGAATAAAGCTGTTTTATGATAGATCTGAAAAAGAAAGTTAATGGAAACTCGCTGAAAATGTCTTGAAATTTATTGAGATATTTCACCTATGGGCAAGAGGTGCTGGAAATTTATCGTGTTGTTACATGATATATCTGAATAAAGCTGTTTCATGACTGATCTGAAAAAGAAACTTAACAGAAACTCGCTGCATATTGTTCGTAAAATATTTGAAAGGAGAAAAATCAGTACGTGCTTTTTGGTTGATCAACAGAAACTGTCTGCATATTGTTTGTAAAATATTTTGAAATATATTGTTCAAAACACTATAAACACTATAAAAAACTCACTATATATTGTTCATAAAATATTCGGAAGGATATAAATCGTGACGTGCTTCATGGTTTGTCAGGTTGAAATTTATCGAGCTGTTTCATGGTATAAGAATCTGATAAAGAAACTTAACAGAAACACACTGCATATTGTTCATAAAATATTTGGAAAGAGAAAAATCAGGACGTGCTTTTTAGCGCATTTTCTCATTTATGGAAAAAATGCACTATTGTGCTCGCCATGTCCGTCTGTCTGTCCGTGACCTCAAGTTTTCGTCGACGAGAAAATGCGCTCTCTGTCACTCACTGCAGTGAGTACTGAGTTATATATTTGGTTGTCAGGTTGCTGCAGCAGTGGGTGTCAGCACCCCTGATGTGCAACAAGGCCATTTCAGCTCGTCAAGAAGCTGTCTTGGAGCTGCGTAAGCTGAGCTCTGCAGTTGAAGAAACTGTATCACTCTTCTCTAAACTTCCTGACATTCAACGGCTCTTACCGCGGTAAGCTATATGCTAATAAGATTATTATTCTGTTGGTATTATATTATTAGAATTCACGGCTTTTCGTAAGCTGAGCTCTGCAGTTCAAGAAACTGTATCACTCTTCTCTAAGCTTCCTGACATTCAACGGCTTTTACCACGGTAAGCTATATGCTAATAAGATTATTATTCTGTTGTTATTATATTATTATTATTATTGTAATTCACAGCTTTTCGTAAGCTGAGCTCTGCAGTTGAAGAAACTGTTGCACTTTTCTCTAAGCTTCCTGACATTCAACGGCTCTTGACATGGTAAGAAATATGCTATTGAGATTGTTATTCTGTTTTTATTATACTATTATTATTATTGTAATTCACAGCTTTTCGTAAGCTGAGCTCTGCAGTTGAAGAAACTGTTGCACTTTTCTCTAAGCTTCCTGACATTCAACGGCTCTTGCCGCGGTAAGAAAAATAAAGTTGAAATTATTATTCTGTTTTTATTATATTATTATTATAATTCGCAGCTCTTGCAGAGATTTAACCTCTTTGTTCCTGATAACTATCGTCGCTTGCTAGTGCTGTTGAAGTCTTAGGCTTAAGATATGTAAATTGTTTCTACTCTCTTCCTATATATTCACGATCTATTTTTTTCTTAAAGTAACATTCATGTACAATTTCTTGCAATCATACGTTTAGTTTTGTATCCCATACTTCAATGCACTTCAATATTACTTTGATTTGAGTGCCCCCATAAAAAATCGTTTGGTTGAATTGATTCTCAAATAATTAAAACCAACATCTTTAGTCTGTTGTCGTTGACTTTCCTCTAATTATTGAGGTTTTGATTTGGTTTATTGTATATTTGTGATGCAGGATTCACAGCCAAGGACTGCGCTTGAGTCCTGATGATCCTAACTCTCTTTGTGATGCAGGATTCACAGCCAAGGACTACGCCTGAGTCCTGATGTATGATCCTAACTCTCTTTGTGATGCAGGATTCACAGCCAAGGACTGCGCCAGAGTCCTGATGATCCTAACTCTCTTTGTGATGTAGGATCCACAGCCAAGGACTGCGCCTGAGTCCTGATGGTCCTAACTCTCTTTGTGATGCAGGATTCACAGCCAAGGACTACGCCTGAGTCATGATCCCTCTAATTATTGAGCTTTTGATTGGTTTATTAGCGCATTTTCTCATTTATGGAAAAAATGCACTATTGTGCTCGCCATGTCCGTCTGTCTGTCTGTCTGTCTGTCCGTGACCTCAAGTTTTCGTCGACGAGAAAATGCGCTCTCTGTCACTCACTGCAGTGAGTACTGAGTTATATTTTTTATATTTTTGATGCAGGATTCACAGCCAAGGACTACGCCTGAGTCCTGACGATCCCAACTCTCGTGCCGTGCTGTTCGAGGAGCAGCAGTACAGCAAGAAACGCGTCCTCTCTTTCCTGGCCGCAACGCAAGCCTTCGCTGCCATCACAAAGATACCTGCATTATTCCATGGTAAGTCTTAATATTCACAGCAAAAATGCCTTTCTGTATCTATAGTTTTGTAGAAAACATGAAATTGCTAACATGGTCAGTTTCGCCATTCAAAATTCAAAATTAAATAAAATACCTTTCTGTATCTGTAGTTTTGTACAAAACATAAAATTGCTAACACGGTCAGTCTCGCCATTCACAGCCAAAATACTTTTCTGTATCTATAGTTTGGTACAAAACATGAAATTGCTAACATGGTCAGTCTTGATATTCACAGCTAAAATACCTTTTTTAGCGCATTTTCTCATTTATGGATAAAAAGCGCTCTTGTGCTCGTCATGTCCGTCCGTCCGTCTGTGACTTCACGTTTTTGTCGATGAGAAAATGCGCTCTCTGTCACTCACTGCAGAGAGTACTGAGTTACATTTTTGTACCTATAGTTTTGTAGAAAAAATAAAATTGCTAACATGGTCAGTCTTGCCATTCACAGCTAAAATACCTTTCTGTATCTATAGTTTTGTAGAAAACATAAAATTGCTAACATGGTCAGTTTCGCCATTCACAGCTAAAATACCTTTTTGCCCCCTTTTCTCATTTATGGAAAAAGCGCTATTTTGCTCGTCATGTCCGTCCGTCCGTGACTTCACGTTTTTGTCGATGAGAAAATGCGCTCTCTGTCACTCACTGCAGCGAGTACTGAGTTATATTTTTGTATCTACCTATTGTTTTGTACAAAACATAAAATTGCTCCATTAGCTGCTAAAGAAATTTGATATACGTGAAATTAATATTTATTTGATCTGTTGATTAATTGTTCTTGCTCACCTTTTTGAAGATCTTATTTATCTCGTGCGTCTCTTTTACATCCACAGTAATCTAGAACTGATTATTTTTACTATAGTCCATATTATTATTATTATTATTATAGTCCATATTATCATTATTATAGTCCATAATTATTATTATGTCTAATAATATTATTATTATAGTCCATATAATTATTACCATAGTCCATAATTATGGACATATTATAGTTGTAATTACATATATTAGGTATATATAGTAATTATGGACATATATTTGACTTGTTGACATATTATAGTCCATAATTTGATGGAGTTCCAGATTGGAATTGATGCTTGAGCGTCTAAACCTAATCGTCAGTAATTAATTAAATATTTTCAATCATTATTATTGTCTTCCAGCAGAAGTAGAATCTGTGTTGCTGCGTTCACTTGTGACGCTCACTACTGATGGCGGCAAATTGCCTTCCATGGAAGACACTCTGCTATTTTTTGAGGTAATGTCCCCTTTTTCATTTCGGTAGTATGTCCCCTTTTTCATTTTGGTAGTATGTCCCCTTTTTCATTTCGGTAGTATGTCCCCTTTTTCATTTCGGTAGTATGTCCCCTTTTTCATTTCGGTAGTCGCTTTTTAATTCGGGTTTTTCATTCCATTTGTAAAATTTTCAGTGGTTTGACTACGTGTGATTGTTTCTACTGACGAAAGAGATAGGAGCAGCTGTTCTCCCTTGTATTTATTATTTGTTTATAAAATATTTGTTAGCTTATTTCCTACTGCTCACGCTTCATTCACAGTATATATAATGATGACAATGAGTGTTTTTTGCTTCTTACGTACTTATGAGATTTAACTATTTCTGTAAGTAACGAATTAGAAATGTTGAATTAAATAATAATATTCTGGACGGCTGGTTTATTGTATATATTGGTTTATTGTAAATATCTAAACTTTCTACGTAATATGAGAAATATTAAACAGTCACAAATATAAAAATCTATATTGTGAAACCCCAAGTACGATTATTGTACTGTCTCTAACGTATAAAGAAACATTTTTGTTTGCAAATGAACTGAACCGTTTTAATGCTTTATTAATGAGAAATTATTGCGTTAAAAATGTATACTAATTTTGATTTTTTTAACGTAAGAAACATTTTTGTGTGCAAATGAACTGAACTGTTTTAATGCTTTATTAATGAGAAATTATTACGTTAAAAATGTATACTAATTTTGGTTTATTAACGTAAAAAACATTTTTGTTTGCAGCGAGCCTTTGATCACGAGCTTGCTAAGAATAAAAATCTATATTGTGAACTTACAAGTACGATTGTTTCACCGTCTCTAACGTAAGAAACATTTTTGTGTGCAGCGAGCCTTTGATCACGAGCTTGCAAAGAATAAAAATCTATATTGTGAACTTACAAGTACGATTGTTTTACTGTCTCTGACGTAAAAAACATTTTTGTTTGCAGCGAGCCTTTGATCACGAGCTTGCAAAGAATAAAAATGTATATTGTGAACTTACAAGTACGATTGTTTTACCGTCTCTAACGTAAGAAACATTTTTGTTTGCAGCGAGCCTTTGATCACGAGCTTGCAAAGAATAAAAATCTATATTGTGAACTTACAAGTACGATTATTATACCGTCTCTAACGTAAAAAACATTTTTGTGTGCAGCGAGCCTTTGATCACGAGCTTGCAAAGAAGGAAGGAAAGATCATACCGAGCAGTGGTGTGGATGTGCAGTATGACAAAGCTATGGAAGAAATCAAGAGAACAGAGAACGAACTTGAAGAATATTTGAAAGAAGAAAATGCTTTCTTTGGCAGCAAGGTTAGTCGTATTAGATAATTTATAGACTTAACAGCGGCTCACTGTTTAGTTCTGGCAAGAGAAGGTTGATTAAAAGTTAATTCAATGAAAACTTTGAACGAAAGAGAAGGTTGGTTAGAAAGAAGTTAACTGTTAAGTTAACTCAATGAAAACTTTGAAGGATTTTGCTTTGGTTTTCAGGGTTAAATGTTCATGAGATTCTGGCTGTTGGTATTCATCATCATTCGTTAATTATTTCCTATCTCCCAGTCGTATAATCTTTTTCTTTCAAGGTATCATCATTGTCAGAATAGCCTAAACGTCTTACAATAATAAACTAAACGTCTAACTTGCTAGAATAACAGGTTAACATTAAACTTAGTCTACCTCTGACCGGAACCTTACTCGACAGATTTTCGTAGTGACATTGATATGTTATATCTTTTGGATTATATATCAATTTGTTGAATGTTAGCTGATTGAACATTTTTGGTTGCACAGGTAGTTTATTTTGGCAGCGATCGCAGACGCTATCAACTAGAGGTCTCAGAGGCAGCCAGCAAGAAGGCCACTTCGGAGTACGAACTTGTGTCCCAGAGAAAAGGATTCAAGAGGTGAGACCTAACTTCAATTCTCAGTCAGTTGCTGGTCATAACAGCATGATTGTTTGATCTTGATTATATGTTTATTTGGATTAAAAACTTGTGTCCCAGAGGAAAGGATTTAAGAGGTGAACCCTAACTTCAATTCTCATTATATTTTTATTCGGAGTACGAACTTGTTTCTCAGAGAAAAGGATTCAAGAGGTTAGTCTTAGATTCAATTCTCTGTCAGTTGCTGGTCATAACTGAGCATGATTGTTTTAGGCGTGATTATATGTTTAGTTTATAATATTTTCATTGGGTCTCTTTATGCTCATTAGGTACCATAAGAGCTGTGCCCTAACTTAAATTCCCAGTCAGTTGCCGGTCATACCAGCTTTATTATTTGCTCCTGTTTATATGTTTATTCGGAGCACGAACTTGTGTCCCAGAGAAAAGAATTCAAGGGGTGAACCCTAGCTTCAATTCTCAGTCAGTTGCCGGTCATAACTGAGCATGATTATTTTGCTACTAATTATGTATTTAGTTTAATTAATGTTCATTGGGTCTCTTTATTTTCAATAGTTTCCATAAGTGGTGAACCCTAACTTAAATTCTCAGTCAGTTGCTGGTCATAACTGAGCATAATTGTTTGCTCTTGATTATGATTAGTTTATAATATTTTCATTGGGTGTCTTATTATTTGCTCCTGATTATTGTGTTTAATTTAAAATATGTTCATTGGGTCCCTTTAATCTTATTAGGTACCATAAGAGGTGAACACTAACTCAAATTCCCAGTCAGTTTCTGGTCATAACTTAGCATAATTATTTGCTATTGATTATATGTTTAATTTATAATATGTTCATTGGGTCTCTTTATGCTCATTAGGTTCCATAAGAGGTGAACCCTAACTTAAATTCTCAGTCAGTTGCTGGTCATAACTGAACATAATTATTTGCCTCTGATTATATGTTTAGTTTATAATATTTTCATTGGGTCTCTTTATTCTCATTAGGTTCCATAAGAGGTGAACCCTAACTTAAATTCCCAGGCAGTTGCTGCTAAAACAGAGCATGATTATTTTGATCCTGTTTATATGTTTATTCGGAGCACGAACTTGTGTCCCAGAGGAAAGGATTCAAGAGGTGAACTCTAGCTTCAATTCCCAGTCAAATGCTGGTCATAACTGAACATAATTATTTGCTATTGATTATGTGTTCACTTAATAATATGTTCATTGGGTCTCTTCATTCTCATTAGGTTCCATACAGCGCGCGCATGTGTTTACTTAATAAAATGTTCATTGGGTCTCTTATTATTTGCTCCTGATTATGATGTTTAGTTTATAATATGTTCATTGGGTCTCTTTATTCTCATTAGGTTCCATAAGAGCTGAGTCCTAACTTCAATTCTCACTCTCAGTCAGTTGCTGGTCATATACATAATTACATATACATAATTATTAGTTATTGATTATGTGTTCACTTAATAATATATTCATTGGGTCTCTTTATTCTTATTAGGTTCCATACAGCACGCAGCAAGGAGCTGCTGGCTCAGATGACAGCTGCTGAGGAGGCCAGAGAGGTTGCGCTTAAGGACATCGCTCGTAGAATATTTCAGCAGTTTGATGACAAGTGAGACTACTATGGCGTGAAAATTACAACATATTTTTCTGATGGTATTTTATAGTTTTGTCTGTAGCAGCTTTTTGATAGTTTTTCTGTAGTGATACTTGATAGTTTCGTCTGTAGTAGCTTATTTGGTATTTTTGTTTGTAGTGTTATTTGAAACTTTTGTATGTAATAGATTTTTGGTATTTTTGTCTGAAGTGTTACTTGATAGTTGTGTCTGTAGTGTTATATGATAGTTTTGTTTGTAATGTTGATAGTTTTGTCTGTAGTAGCTTTGTGATAGTTTTGTCTGTAGTGTTATTTTATAGTTTTGTCTGTGGTAGCTTTTTGATAGTTTTGTCTGTGGTAGCTTTTTGATAGTATTGTCTGTAAGTAGCTTTTTGATAGTATTGTCTGTAAGTAGCTTTTTGATAGTTTTGTCTGTAAGTAGCTTTTTGATAGTATTGTCTGTAAGTAGCTTTTTGATAGTATTGTCTGTAAGTAGCTTTTTGATAGTTTTGTCTGTAGTAGCTTTTTGATAGTATTGTCTGTAAGTAGCTTTTTGATAGTATTGTCTGTAATAGTTTTGTCTGTAGTAGCTTTTTGATATTTTTGTCTGTAGTAGCTTTTTGATAGTTTTGTCTGTAGTAGCTTTTTGACAGTTTTGTCTGTAGTAGCTTTTTGATATTTTTGTCTGTAGTAGCTTTTTGATAGTTTTGTCTGTAGTAGCTTTTTCGATAGTTTTGTCTGTAGTAGCTTTTTGACAGTTTTGTCTGTGGTAGCTTTTTGATAGTTTTGTCTGTAGCAGCTTTTGATAGTTATGTGTGTAATGTTATTTGATAGTTTTGTCTCTAGATCTCGAAAATGTCATGTTTTATCCAAAATAATGTATGGTGTTTACAGACAGGACCTGTGGAGTGCTGCCGTGGACTGTGTAGCTACATTAGACGTGCTTATGAGCCTCACGAAGTACAGCCTGTCTATAGCTGACGCTGCCACTCCTGAAATATGTGACGCTGAGTCTTCAGAAGAGGTACGAAAAGAATTATTTTACATAGATTAAATGGCGTATTTCTATGACGAGTTATTTCTTTGATAGATGAGAGTCTTCAGAAGAGGTCTGAAAAGAATTAATTTCCATAGATTAAATAGCATAGGTAGTTCTTATGACACTGCGTAGCTACATTAGACGTGCTTATGAGCCTCACGAAGTACAGCCTGTCTATAGCTGACGCTGCCACTCCTGAGATATGCGACGCTGCGTCTTCAGAAGAGGTACGTAAACAAATTTATTTCCATAGATTAAATAGCATAATTCTTATGACGAGTTATTTCTTGGATAGATGAGAGTCTTCAGAAGAGGTATGAAAAGAATTAATTTCCATAGATTAAATAGCATAGGTAGTTCTTATGACACTGCGTAGCTACATTGGACGTGCTTATGAGCCTCACGAAGTACAGCCTGTCTGTAGCTGACGCTGCCACTCCTGAAATATGTCATGCTGCGTCTTCAGAAGAGGTACGAAATGAATTAATTTCTATATATAATTTTTTCAGGTTTTAGATTTTTGCAACTTATTCGTTCGAAATAATTTTTCATTTTACTCTTTATAGCGCTTTCATAAATTAGACCAATGTTTTTATTAACGCAATGCGTTTAAAATGACGTATGTATGCAATAATAATAATAAAAATAGATAATATAGAATATAGATTAAATAATATAATATATTCTATAGATTAAATAATAGATTAATAGGCATAATTCTTCTGACGAGTTATTTCTTCAATAAATGAGTCTTAAGAAAAGGTCTGAAATGAATTAATTTCTATGTATAATAATATAGATTAAATAATATAATATATTCTATAGAATAAATAATATATTAATAGGCCTAATTCTTCTAACGAGTTATTTCTTCGATAGACGAGAGTCTTCAGAAGAGGTACCTACGAAAAGAATTAGTTTCTATTTATAATAATATAGATTAAATAATATAATATATTCTATAGATTAAATAATAGATTAATAGGCATAATTTTTATTATGAGTTATTTTTTCGATAGATGTGAGTCTTCAGAAGAGGTACGAAAATAATTAATTTAATGGCGTAGGTCTTATCGCGAGTTATATGTATAATAATATAGATTAAATAATATAATGTATGCTCTAGATTAAATAATAGATTAATAGGCATAATTCTTCTGGCGAGTTATTCCTTCGATAGATCAGAGTCTTCAGAAGAGGTACGAAATTAATTAATTTCTATGTATAATAATATAGATTAAAGAATATAATATATTCTCTAGAATAAATAATTGATTAATAGGCATAATTCTTCTGACGAGTTATTCCTTCGATAGATAAGAGTCTTCAGAAGAGGTACGAAATGAATTAATTTCTATGTATAATAATATAGATTAAATAATATAATATATTCTATAGATTAAATAATAGATTAATAGGCATAATTCTTCTGACGAGTTATTCCTTCGATAGATGAGAGTCTTCAGAAGAGGTCTGAAATGAATTAATATCTATAGATTTAATGGCGTAGGTTTTATGACGAGTTATTTCTTTGATAGAGGATCGGAAATGTTTCTCATTATTTAATGACTGAGTTTTGAAATCCTTATTTTTGAAACTTGTTTATTATATTCAATTTTGAAATTAGAGCACCACTGTTTGCATTCAGCAAATTTTCGTAAGAGGTTTGAACTATTGACTGTAAGACGTTTGAACTATTGACTGTAAGACGTTTGAACTATTGACTGTAAGACGTTTGAATTATTACATACCGTATTTGATATTGACTGTGAGATATTTGAACTATATTTGATATTGACTGAGATATTTGAACTATATTTGATATTGACTGTAAGACGTTTGAACTATATTTGATATTGACTGTGAGATATTTGAACTATATTTGATATTGACTGTGAAATATTTGAACTATATTTGATATAGACTGTAAGACGTTTGAATTATTGCATATTTAATACTGACTGTAAGATATTAAATTTATTACATTGCTTGCAGGCGTTCCTGGAGATACGCGATGGCTTGCACCCCTGCATCCTCTCCAGCCAAGAGGGCATCATCCCGAACGACGTGGTGCTGGGCAGGGGGGCTGGTGAGGGGGCACACTGCCCCCTGGTCCTCGTCACGGGTCCCAACATGGGCGGCAAGAGTACACTCATGAGGCAGACGGCGCTGCTTACCATCATGGCGCAAATTGTTAGTCGTGCTTAACATAGGCTGTGATTTTGTAAAAAATCATGCTTAAAAATTTTGAGTCATGCTATATGGCTATGATTTTGTTGATGAAAATTGTTAGTCGTGCTTAACATGGGCTATGATTTTGTTGATGAGCTGCGCACCGTGTGTGTGTGTGTGTATTGTTGAGTCCTATGTTGTGATATTAGGTTGAACATAATATCACAATATTAATGATCTATTCCACGGTGTTCAACACAATATCACAACACACGTTCAACCTCCCCTCTCGATAAATCGCAATATTTATGATCTATTCAACCGTGTTCAACTTAATATCTCAATATTTATGATCTACAATATTCAACCGTATTAAACCTATTTGCCCATCCTGGTAGTGGCGACTAACAGCCTGGTGATAGGTCAGTTTTTCCGGGCACTTAATGCCACTGGTAGTTCTACGGTTGCCCATCCTGGTAGTGGCGACTAGGTATGGAGGGTGATAGGTCAGTTTTTCCGGGCACTAATGCCACTGGTAATCCTGGTAGTGGCGACTAGGGTGATAGGTCTGTTTTTCCGGGCACTTAATGCCACTGGTAGTTCTACGACCATCACTGGCTCGCTGACCCGCTAGAACCATTTGATTGCATTACACAACACCCTGGACAAGCCAGGTACTCATTTATCAACCAGAGTAAATATCTGTCAATCTAAGCGAGTGCCTTCTAAATAAAGACATCAACCTCACATCAAAGATAAAATAAATAAATCAATCAAATAAAATCAAATAAATAAATAAATATAAATAAAAATAAATAAATAAATAAATAAAATCAAAATAAATACATCAAATAAATAAATACATCAATAAAATTTATCCTCAAAGACATCAACCAGAGTTGGATGAATGGCTGAGCCCTCTCGGGGTCTGCATCGTGGATGGTGGCAATCAAAGTTTATTGTTGGTTTCTGGTTATGTTTTTGGCTTATGTTGATCGCGATTTTTTTGTACTATTACTTTTAAAGTAAATCTGTTTACATTCTTAAGTGATGTAAACAAAACTTTGAGTCGTCAATTCGTCATTGTGATGTTTTTCTTGATTTTCGCGACAATCGAGGGCTGTTTTATACTCAGCTCAAAATTACCCGTGCAATATTAGCAGTTTCCTAAATAAATTCAACATTTTAAGTTTTATGTCAAGGCAATTGTTGACGGGAAATGCACTTCTTGTAAAGTATTTTAATTCTAGCTAAAGTATTTAAAATTTGTGCATAATGCTTGGAGATGACTCCAATTAGCTTTAGCAGCTCTAATGTTTAGTTTCTCATTACTGAGTTCCTCGAAAAATGCACTATTTAAACATAACCAAAAATGAGGGATAAATAACTATTAATAGTAGTTATTATTAATAATAACTAAATAAATTACTCTAAATAACTAATAACTATAAATAACTTAAACATAACTAAATAACTTTAGCTGCTCAAATGTCTAGCTTCTCGTTATTAAATTCCTCGAAAAGCGCGCAATTTAAGCAAGACCAAAACTGAGAAATGAATACCTATTAATAACAGTTATTATTAATAATATCTAAATAAATAACTAATAACTATAAATAACTATTAAACATAACTAAAATGTGAAATAACTATTACAGGGAAGCTTGGTACCGTGTAGTTCCATGCGCCTGACTCCCGTGGACCGAATCTTCACACGAGTTGGAGCCAGCGACAGGATGCTGGCTGGGGAGAGCACGTTCTTGCTGGAGCTGCGTGAGACCGCAGCCATCCTACAGCACGCCACGCCGCATGCTCTTGTGCTCATAGATGAACTCGGTAACTCCTTTCTGATGGACCTCTGTTTCTGATGGACTCTTAGTTCTGATGGACAGCCTGAACTCGGTAACTACTTTCTGACGGTCCTTTGTTTCTGATGGACTCCTAGTTCTGATGGACTCGTCCCAGAATAGTTCTGATGGACTCCTAGTTCTGATGGACTCGTCCCAGAATAGTTCTGATGGACTTGTCCCAGAATAGTTCTGATGGACTCGTCCCAGAATAGTTCTGATGGACTCGTCCCAGAATAGTTCTGATGGACTGCTAGTTCTGATGGACTCGTCCCAGAATAGTTCTGATGGACTCCATGTTTCTGATGGACAGCCTGAACTCGGTAACTTCTTCTTTCTGATGGACCTCTGATGTTCCGTAGTTTAGGTCTCGTCTCTAATGATCAGAAAAAGTTTTTTCTACGTAAACGTGTGGCAATGTTTTCAGGGCCCGTATTGTCTGGGTCATCATCCATTCGTACTCTTTCACCTGACGGTCTGTTTTTTTTTTTTCAGTTGTAGCTATGTTTATTAATTTATATTATTAGAAATTGAATGCTCATAATTAATATATCAAATTATTGAAACAACGCATGTGATTCGTTATTGCTTTCTCTTCATTTATTTTTATTTTTATATCTAAAAAGCGTCAATCGTTTAACTTGCTCCTTTGAAGAACTCTGAATAACTTAGCTGATTTGTTGGATAACTTTTAAAGAATTTAACTTCCTCTCTCGATAAATCACAATATTTCTGATCTATTCCACCGTGCAGGTCGTGGCACGGCGACGCACGACGGCACGGCCGTAGCGTGGGCGGTAGCAGGGGCGCTGGTAGAGCGTCGCTGTCGTACGCTCTTCTCTACACACTACCACGGCCTCGTGCACCACTTCGCTCACACCCCCGGCGTCTCCATGGGGCACATGGTGCGTTCACTCCCAATTGGGTGCTTAACTATCTTTTGGGGCTATTTAACTTCACCTATATTTGAGCTATTTAACTTCTCTATATTGGGGCTATTTTACTTCCTCTATATTGGGTCTATTTAACTTCCTTCCTCTACCTGATCATGATAACGTTTCATTTCCTTCCTCTACCTGATCATGATAACGTTTCATTTCCTTCCTCCACCTGATCATGATCTGTCTCTTATACACATCTAGATGTGTATAAGAGACAGTGTCTCATCTCTGCCTTTTTCCCACAGTTGCGCAAATCCTGAGCACTATTCTGTCGGGGGGCTGCCTTGGACGAGTCTCCAGAGCTCCCTCAGCTCCAAAAAGAAGAAGAAGAGAGTGGAGACAGTTTTATTACAATCCATGAAAAGTATCGCCTGTATCATGTATGACTACTGTCACAAATTAGTTTGAAGTTGCTGTACTTATATAAGTTATATTACGTTGAATATTATAATAATGTGGATTCGATTTTAGATTTATGCAACTAAGTTAAAGCTACTGGAGTACTGGGCATCTTTGTTAAATTGCTAGTTTTCTTGAAAGTTGAAACGATTAGCTTACCTGTTGAAGTGTTGATCGTCGAGTCGTCTCCGACGACGTCAGTCATGACTTTGACTCAATTCTCAAGTTAACTTTGCCCGCAGTTTGTAAGCGGCGCAACCACTCGAGTAAAAATCTTACAATCGGCATTATAGTACCAACTTTATTCATGATTGTCTGAACTCTGAATGATTTATTGGTTGCGTAGCCAACCGTGCCGTGCTCAACTTTTTTCACCCATATGTATTTTTTTAAATATCAAGCAGCTGTGAATAATAATGTTCAGTGTGTGTGTGTGTCATTGTAGCCTTGTTTAACTCCAATAGGCCTATATCTTGTAGTCTGAGTTGTAGATGTCATAATATTGGCTACTGCAAGACTAAAAATAACCTAGGGCCTATGCCAATTTGAGTCCACTATGCAGAGGGTGGATGCAGTGTCGCCAATATATGGATTTTTAAGCCCAAAGCGTCGCCGGCCATTTTAAAGATGCATCGCCGGGTAATTTTTAATGAAAAGCCATTTACGCTGAGTAATGACGAACTATTTACAAGCCACGAACTTAGTTACAAGGTTGCATGCACGCCATGGTCAGGAAGATGTGCCAGGTGCGCGGGAATTTATTTTGTCATTTTAACGACCTGCGCGGTGCGCCGTACTACGTTGGTAAAAAAATGCGCCATGCACTGTAGTCGTACTTTAGAAAGCTAAAATAGTTCTACTATTTTAGTCGACAATATACGCGAGTATATTGACTACGCGAGTCAAACTGACAATAATAAAATGTAAGACATGTCCGGGTTACTTCCGACTCTTCCGGTTGTTCGCCTTGTCGGATACAGAACGTACGGTAATCGTAAACTGCGGCTGTTATACATACGAAATGTAAACAGACGGTATTCAGTGTTGCCATATGACTTTGGAGAAAATTTCTTTTAAAATAAAGATGGCCGGGATTGCGCGAACACGTGCGCAAAGATAATCAATTTTCATTACATTGAGCCAACTGTGCACAGCAATGGCTTAAAAAAAGTGAAAATGTGCGGGAAAATTCACCGAAAACATACATCATCCTGAGTGTGGCATGCACGTGCTACCCCAAATAACTAATTTTACCCTAAAAACAGTCCGATTGTACAGCAAGTGTCAACTGAACATGTAATAAAGCAGTCTGACCGCTCTAATGTGACCGAAACTACGCAATCGAAAAAACATTGTTTACATTTTTTGCGGGAACTCATCGCAACTGATTTCCGGACAAGCTTCGCTGCATCGTAATCCATCCAACGCACCGGAAACCTTACTTTTTTTCTAAATAGTTGGCCGAAGACTGAGAAATATATTAAATGCAAGAATTTCAATCTAAATGTGTCGGCAAGATCTTCTGAAGGCAAAAATTGGGACACTGAAGCGTCGCCAAAGATCTTGCAATATTTATCCACTCTCTGCACAGTGGATTTGAGCCTTTGAGATAGAAAAATATCCCCCATCAAGAAATTAGGTACATATTAATAATATTATTAGGCTACCAACTTAAGCTACAAAGGCAAGTGCAAAGTCAGCAAGTCCAAATTTATAAATGGTTCCATTATTTTCCATAGTTACAAAAAATAAAGTAAGTCAGGACTTATTATGCAATATGCAATGATAAAAATGACCCAGTTATCAATGCCAATGGTCACAATGGTGACTTATTGTCATTGTTGCTAGAGATTTTTGGCAATTTTTTGTAATTATTTTATGTTAGCAGAGTTAGCCCTTCCCAAATTTTATAGCATAACATTATTTTCATCTATGATGTTAATTTTTCAATTTTTCATAATTTAGCTTCCTTGTTAAAAACAACTAGGGTAAACGCGGTATATTCCATCATCGTGGGTAATTCCGTCACCTCTCTAGTTTTTTCTTTATATTAAGCTTTGTTTTAGTTCCATGCGTTCGTTGATGGTTGAAATGGTGACGTCATACATTTGCGCATCAAACTACTGCCAAAACACTAGGTCTTGGCCATCTAGCGGGAAAATATTGAGATCCAAAGAGAGACAATGCACGCTAGCTACCCAGTGAGATCATCGAAACGACGAAAAATGTGTCAAATTTGACAGTTGACCTTGCTCTACCAAATAGTGAATAACTGTTTGTATAGGAAGAATATTATGGTTTGAGACTTTTAAATACGTTTGTGAATATATTAGGAATCCTTTAAGTATACTTGTATTCGCTGATTTCAAGTGCTAAATAAATTAATAGATGATTAAGTTGAGAAATGAATTTAGACACATGAAAATTAATTCCGTCACAACTTGAATTGGACACACACAGATCGTTCCAAGCTGTGTACAAAAATTAAAATTTGCTTAATTAAAAGCTTAATAGTTGTTAATTAAAAGCGTAATTAAGTAGTGTTCAATATTCATTAGTGTTCTAATTCAAAGCCGTGTTGTATTCCAATACAGCTCACACAGCAAACGGAATTCGAACACGTGGATGAGGGCATTATGTATCAGTAGAATTTGAAGCGCGGACGGAATACGCCTCACCACGTGCCGAATATTGCCACACAGTGTCGGAATATAGGGATTTGGTAGGCTTGCATTCTAGAGGCTTTTAAATAAATATGGCAACATTTTGTGACGTTTCATCGTTGCTGGCGTGTAGTACGGTGTTTTGCGAATCACGTAAAGCCAACAGAACTCGAGTAACGCATACGGTTATTTTTTTATAGTTTTTCATTTCTCGATGCGTCCTTAATGTGTCAGAATATACCGCGTTTACATAATAGCAATTAAAGCAGGAAATTTATTAAACATTGTTAATTTGACAATGAATGATAGAAGCCTCAAAGTTTAGTACAAATTTTAAAGAATTATCTTATTAAGTCCATTATTCGAAAGATTTGGGAAAGGGTAAAAAAAATTGAAATGTTTGTTTTTAGTCATGCACCAAGTACCTATGAATAATATGTAGCAATGCAAATTCAATTTCACTACAGGAAAAGACATACTAGCTTCAGGTTTAATACAAATTATTTATTTCAATATGATTTCAATGGAGAAACAGCTGTAGTCCACAAATTCAGCTCTTCAATAAACCTTGGAGCCAAAGCCCAGCCTCAGCATGCAATAACTACTCTTGCCACTGATCTAAAAGCTACAGACTATGCTGGACTCTGGAGTGCCATAATCCAGACCAGTGACATAATGCTTTGAGGTAGAATTGGAATTTTTCTACTTGTTTCTGAAATCTTGTGGCTCCAAAATGATGAATTTTTAATACAATTGGAATCTTGTGGCCTGATCGTGCACTTTTGTTAATAATTACTAGTTAGGAGGTAATTCATCAGGTGGAAATCTTGTGGTTACCGGAAATGGCGGAAAGTTCTAGTTGCGGCCCTAAAGGAGGATGTTTTCCATGCTTGCTTTGAGATAATAGTGTCGTAGGCCATCAGCCAGCACTCAAGCATGTTGCACATAAACATGCAGTTCCAAATCCAGCCTTGCCTACTCTGGCTCAACCAGTTCACTCTTTTCTAGCTCACAACCTTCTTGCAACCAATGAAAGGCTCTAACAGCTCACCTGAACTTCCTTTCTAACTTCCTGAATCCTATAAGGTTGGGTTACATCTGCTCAGGTTTGTTTTGGGTAGAGAAACTTTGCAACTTGTGTAGGCTAGGCTGGAGCTGGAAGAGGCCGTGATGGAAGGGGTGGCCATTCTGATTTTTAGAATACCTACTTGAGTGGTGGCTGTGGATAATTATGGTTTTGTTATATAATTATATTATGGTTTTGAGCAGTTAACTTCATAGGCTGCTATGTCCTTCAGGGTTTCTTGGCCACAAAAAGGAATATGAATTAAGTGTGAAGTTGAACAAAGCTATCCTCCAGCATGCGCCACATTTCAAATAATAAGATTGCCTTGTAATATTTTTAATCTTGATGAAATCTTTTACAAATATTTAAAAGATTTCATTTATCTTAATGATCTTATCATTAAGAATTTATGATCATAATCTTTGTTCCTATTTTTCAGTTTTTGCCAATTTGGTTGCACACTGTTATGGCATGCCCAGCTGCATGTTAATTTTGTTAGTGTTAAATAATTAGTGTGATAATGTTATGGGATAGGATTACATACATATTTAGCTGGTATTACATAAGTTAGTTGAATATATCAGAACTTGTTGCAATGGCAGATGGTGCGCCACCACCACTGCCTCCTAAGCAAAAAAGTGGAGCGTCTTCAAGTCACAGACAGAACATGAATAATAATGGCACATCTCAGCATGTGTACTCATCAGAAGAGAAGGCACAAGCCTTGCTCGAGGAAGAACAAGCATTTCAGCGCATCAAGCAACAAAAGGAACAGCAACAGAAAAGTAAGAATTATCTTAGTTAAATGATTATAAAGATCTTTCATTTCTAAACTGTAGATGAATTTTAGACTTTTGTACTTTTAGTTGTTTTCATGCTCTCTGCTTTTTTAATTGAATCAAATGATCTCAAACTCAGCTAATTATGGGGAAAACTTCCACTCTTTAAGCAATAACTAAGCATTATTCATCATTTAGCATAAGGCAGAATTTTAGAATTTTGTACTTTTAGTTGTTTTCATTTTCTCCACTTCTTTTAATTGAATCAAATTATCTCAACCTGAGCTAATGTGAAGAACTTCTACTCTCTAAGCAACAATTAAGCATTATTTATTATTTAGCATTAGGCATGGGCCTGGGAACTGTTGAAATTGCCCATGAGCACAGGCCTGTGTGATAAAATAATTGTCATTGCATTCAGACTCCAGGTATAATCCCATCCTTGGGCATCTTGGATATTGCATCTTCTTTTAATGTTCAAGAGCACAATGACATAAGCGATGATTTTTAATTAAGGCCATACATAGTTTCTTTTTCTTGGAACTCTATATATTTTACCCTCTTACTTTTTTACTCAAGCTCTGTGTTGCTTTTACTCAAGCTCTTTTTTATTCTTGAATAGATACATGCAATTTATTCAATGTTTAAAGTCGTGTTCCTTACACTTAATGTCACTTGAATTGCACTTTGGAAATCATTTCCACCAAGTTAAATTTCAAGTGTTGGAAAACCTTCACCTGCTTGATACTGAAAATTGTATTTTTGAAACATTGAAATCCATTAAAATATCATTTGGTAACTTGCTTTTTGATCTCCCAGCACCAGCAAGAAATTTTGTTTGACTCATTGAAAAAACGAATAAGAAGATTATTAATATAAATCATGCTCTGGTCTTTAATCAAACTTGCATATATACCCGGTATAGGTATACGTCTTATCTAACTGGGTGAAAAGAGAACCAATGATTATTAGTAGAATATGATTATACCTACCTATTAACAGTTCAGATGTACAATGTAGTGATCAGTTTGTGTTTAAATATTTTCTTTAATCATGTTCATCTAGAGGCTAAATGCTTTAATTGGGGCATCATTGATTATGAGTAACCATAACATTTTACCTTTTTTCCAGTCACTTTAATCTTGTTCATCTAGAGGCTAAATGCTTGGGTACATCATTGATTTTAAGTAACCACAACATTTTACCTTTCCAGACATTTCGCGCTCGTTCTCGGCTGGTGCAAATGACTGCACAAGGCCGCAATATGGCAGCAACAGTCAGCTGTCCACAAAGCCTGCTATAACCACTGCCTCCATCACCCCTCCACCTGTTTTGCCTCGCTCTAATAGAAACTTGAATATCACTGTCACTGCTACTAATGCTGAGCCAAACTCAGAAATAGAAGATTTAATGAGCTTTCAAAGCCCAGAAAAACCCAAAAATGATATATTTGAAATGATTCAAAATTTGAACGCTAATCTCCATAGATCTCTCGTACCTGTGAGTAGTACAACTATGGGTCCAGCTAATCAAGGTTACCAGACTGCCTTACTCCCAGGTGCCTTCAATCACTCTAATGTGCATGGTGCTGCTGGCTTATCAAATAAAAATTTAACTCCAATGAACGCTCAAGAAATGAATTCAAATATGATGCGTGCTCCGCCTCCTATTCCTAGTAGAAATGCAGTTTTTGATCCAAGTAGAGTTAGTTTATTCGTGAATCAGATGAATCAAACGTCGAGTATTGGAAATTCTTTCCCATCCAATGCATCCATTTCATCCTCTTTTGGTTATACTGGTGGAACTTCTCCGATAACTGCTACGATTCCCTCATCTTCTTATGGCTGTACTGGTGGAATTTCTTCTCCAGCCAATTTTCCAATTTCATTATCCACTGGTACTGGTACAATTTCTTCCCCAGTGAGTGCTATTAATCTCCTTTCTCATAACGCTCATGGGTGTTCTTCTTTTAGTACTACTTCTTATATAAACTCCACCAACTTTCCCTTCAACGGAAACTTTCATTCAGTTCCTTTCACTTGCAAACCTAACATTCCTCTGATTATTCCTGCCAAAACTTTGCCTCCTCCTGAGCTCAGCCTTGCTACCGTGTCCATCGCAACTTCTACGTCAGGCATTACTACCCCTACTTCGGTGACAACTGTGACGACATCATCAGTATTAGCAGCGGCTCCGTCTATCAAACAAAAACGAACAAGTAAACGATCAGGAGATTTGATGGAATTCGTTAGCAGTCCCCCTCGTACCGTTTCATCTCATCGCGATGTTAATAGCGTTCTTTTTGACTTCGATCCTCTCGTGGACCGTGGCTTTAGCTCGTGTGACTCAAGTCAGGCTGTGAAAAGACTTAGCACTAACTCTACCATCCCCGAAGACGATTCATTTTCTAGGAAAGTTCAGGGTGTTGTGGTTTTGAGCTACGAAGCTTCAGAAATGCTTCGTTTTAAAGAGATGAACATACGTTCGGTAGGTGACGATGAAGCAAGCAATTACTACGAACACGTTGACCCTTTTGAATATATGAGACCTGATGGAAGCTGTCGCTCTGACCCTGTTTACGATGCGTATGACGGGCTAAGGAGCCCTACGAATGTGACCGGTGACACTTTCGACGTTCCTCCGCCTATACCACCACGAGCTTCCTCTCCAGGAGATGCCACTCCTGCTGCTGTTTCTGATGAGCCCCTGGCGAGAACTTCAGGCGTTCGTAAATGCCCTCTTGTAAGTATCGTAATCATTATTGTTGACTATCTATGTTTTGTTTTTAATGCTCTCGTGAGTATCGTAATCATTATTGTTGACTATCTACAGTATGTGTTGTTTTTAATGCTCCCATTACAAGAGTACTAGCTGTTTAAAATTATTTTTTGTATCTATTTTTCTTTTAGTATAATACCGCATGTTTCTTTTTTGTCCGAAAACAGTTTAGTATGGATTATTTCTGTAGTTACCTTATGAATTTTGACATGAATGATGTGTATGAATGGATGTAATGAAATGTTTAAATATGTTACGTACGTCTAATTTACCTCTCCCCCTTGACGAGAACGGAGTTACTGTCAAGGCCACGTTTGCTTGGGAACTCTAAATATTTACATGAATATTCTTATCGTTGCTCAGTTTTTGAAGCCTTCGGTAAATCTCTGTTTTAAGTTCAACAGCATGTTCAAGTATACAGGTCGGTCGAAAGTAAAATCGCTATCGAATGTATCAGCTCAGCCTGACATCAATACAATAGAAGTAATCGGATTAATTCTTTGGTTTCGCAATGGGATTGATATGATTGTAAAATTGTAATCTTTATAGATCCACATGAGAAATAAGAATCAAGAGCATTATAATATTCAAAATGCAGTAGCGAAATGATCTTTAATTTGTCTTGCTGGAAAACGAAGGTAAAAATGCCTATAGCAAATTACGGACCATGCAGGCAATAAGTCCAGCAGCTATCTCAATCAATCGTCAGTTATGGAAAGATCGGGTCCCAAAGGCCGGATCCCTTGTGAATCAAGTCACGAAAAGTTCAAGAATCGGCAACAGGCCATGGGCCTATTTCTTCAACGCCGACAATTCTATTCTATTCTATTCTACAGTTGACGCGTATATTACTTATAGCATGCACACAAAAATTTGTAATTTCGGTTAGCCGTTTATATACGGCGTCGTCAGTGCCAATTTTTTTATCTCGAGAGATAGCCACGCGTTTGCTGTACTATTATCAGGAGTTGTTATGAGATGTCAATGTGATTTGTGTCATTGTTGAGGTCAAAACAATGCGGTTGTGTGTTTGATTGAATGTCTCCTAATCATCAAGTCGCTATCTCCTGACTGCAGTTCGCCACACCAAAACCATAATATATTGTAGTGCCGTCTTGTCTGTTAGCTGGAGCAGAGTTTCTCGTAATGACCTTCTTATTTAGTGTATACTTGAAATATATTCAGTTTCATTCTATAGTTGTTTACCGAATTATTTTCCGCTAAAAAGTTTTTATAGGAGATTCATTTAATGGACGTGTTCATCACGATATCTGACCCGCCTCAATGTGAAGGCAGTATTTTTACCCCCGTGATTTAAATGCTGTACAGGAATCTTTTATTTAATGCATTCTTCGAACTGATAATTATTTTGATCGTGATATTTGGGTATGGGTGTTGAAGAAGACCACAGCGTTTTGGAAAGTGGCGCAAGCGCCAAAAGTTTGAGTGCACAAATCGTGTTCAAGAACAAAAAGAAACGCCTAGTGCCGACAACTCGTCTTGCCCACAGCAAGTTCTATAATCCAGGAACCGCGAAAACGCTGCAGTCAAATCCTGGGTTCAGTACGACTTTTGATTTTACATCTCTACGTCGCATTAGTGACAAGTATCAAAGTACTGCATTCCATCTCCCTGCTGTTGACAGAAGTCTTTCAGAAGACGGCCCAGAGCGACCAAACTTTTTGCCGCTGATATCACTGATTGACAGCGCCGGTACGGAAGACATCGATTCTGTTGACTGGGCAACTGACTTGTCTGCGTATACATCTTTCGTTTCGCGTTTTGACTCGATTTATTGGTATCGTCTGTACTTCGACAATGAAGACGATCCTGAAATTCCTGAGTTTTATAAGAAAATTTTCGATCCAAGTGATGATATTGAAATAACTGTTTGCGAGGAAGCGTCCGACTGTAGCTCTACAAACTCTGTTTCTCCAACCAACACATGTGAAGGAGTTACAGAAATGTTGATATCAAGTCAAAGTGAGCTCAATGGAGTTCAGACTGAGGATTCTGAGGTCAGTTTTGTTGTGATTTCGTGAATATATTTTTCGTCAGAATTTCTGTATAGAATATTTATGGAAATGTTTACTTTTTTTCTTTGAAATAAAGACGTGTATGAAAGTATGAAGCATAAAAATAAAGTTTTGAGGTATTTATTTATTTTTGATGTTCATTTTCATCATCGCTTATGCCGCATGTATACCATTTAATCTTTAAATTCACACTCTAAAACTCCTCGAGTGTGCCCCCATACTTTTAATCCCCTTATCAGTTGATATTTATGATAGAAACGTTATCTTTCAAGGTGCCTTACTAGTGCACCGTGCGACGTGCTCAAGCAACATCAGTTCTTCGAGACGTTGTTCAGTAGTCGTTCGTACGTTCGTATTTATGATGCAAACTTTGCATCTATGCATCTTTCGTATTTATGATGCAAGCTTTGCATCTATGCATCTTTCGTATTTATGATGCAAGTTTTGCGTCTATGCATCTGTTGCAATGTCAGGTGGTGTGTGTTACCCTAACCGCCTATTTGCGTTTTTAAAAAGCTTAACAGTTAACTTATCATTTTAATTTACTGTTGCTTTAAAGCCTTGCTGGAGATATTTTAATTATTTCCACGTTACCTTCATTCTACACTGTTCAGTAACCCCGAGTTTTATACCTTACGGGAGAAATGAATATCTCGAGTGTGACGTAAATTTGAAATCGTGTAGATGTTATAATAACCGTTTTGCTTTTATTATCTTGAGAAAATATTGTATAAACTTTGTAAATATGTGTTCAAGAGAAAGTAACGAAACGTACGAAATGCTAATTGAAACGACTCTAGACGTTTTCTTATCTTGAGAAGATATTGAATAAACTTTGTAAACATGTGTTCAAGAGAAAGTAACGAAACGTACGAAAAACTAATTGAAACGACTCTAGAAGATATCGATGACCCGTACACGTACTTGTGGTCTCCTGTTGCTCTGGGGCCGAGGGATAAAGAACTTTCTGACTCTGCCTTGGACTTTATCTTGGTTGAGCAAATAGAATCTTCAACAAATAGCTTAGCTAGGGCAAAAATTATTGCTAATAACCCCATATATGAGTGCTTAGAGGACAGCGAACCTGTGGTCGAGCCAGACCAGAATGCGAACCTTTCTTCTGCTTCACCTCCGGCTGATTGTCAAATAACGAGCGCTCCCAATATACCAAGTGAAACGGAGACTTGTATGGTAACGTCTGATGTTCCAAATGATGAATTTCATGATGAACAACACAATATTTCAAGTCCAGAGAGTTCGCATGCGTCCAGTAGTCAACAAGCGGTTTCATCGATTGATGCCAGTGATGCAAACAAGGAGCCAAGTTCTTGTGAGACTTTTGAGTCACATGGAGCGCGAAGGAAAACAAGTACAAGAGGTATACGGCAAGCAGAGCTTATAAACAACTTCGTAATAAACTCTGAAAATGAAAAGGTTCGGCGCGTTTTGGGTTTCCAGGAGTTGGATCTTCCGTGTCAGCGACTACCTAAGGTGTCCGAAGAAGAAATTGATGCCCAAAATGAAGAGTGGGCCAAGAGACAATCAAAATCAAATTATCTTCGAAGTGAAAATTTGATGTGGGCTACTCTACCAATCCCAGTTGGTCGAAAGCGTGACAACCGACCCAGAATTCGCTCCGAAATTATTGGTTCTGATATAAAATTTGAGCCTGTATTTCTTCGTAGATTTTCTTGTCAATCTACGGGTAGATATTTGGTAAGGTTTTATCATCTATGGGGTTATGTAACTTGTATTTCTTGCCACGTAGTCCAGCCCTTTTTATGATTATCTTGAGCTCTATAATGTGTTGTTTTCACGTGTTAGTTGGTGTTATACACGAGAAGAATATTTGTTTTCAGTTATAGGGCAAAACGAGCATACATGAGATGGATTGTTTGAAAGAGTAAAATTTATCTTGTTTCAGTCTTTAAAAGTTTCAGTTTACTCTGTTCAAAAGTTTTCAACTACATTTGTTGTTTTGTCATGTGCATTTGTTATAGGAGCTGTGAAAATATACCTTGTAATAATTCGTAACTATGTTGTCTTATTTTTAACGCTTACCATAAACTACTGGTTGTTATTTCCAATATAGTTATAGTATATCTAATATGCATGTTTTATCCATCAGATGCGAAAGCAGTCCATAATAGTATATCTAATATGCATGTTTTATCCATCAGAAGCGAAAGCAGTCCATAGTGGACGGGCAGTGGACTCATGGCGTGATGTTATTTCTAATATAGTATATCTAATATAGTATATCTAATATAGGATATCTAATATAGTATATCTAATATAGGATATCTAATATAGTATATCTAATATAGTATATCTAATATAGTATATCTAATATAGTATATCTAATATGCATGTTTTATCCACCAGAAGCGAAAGCAGTCTATAGTGGACGGGCAGTGGACGCATGGCGTGATCACACTCAGCAAGACGGACTCGCTGAAGGCGGATGACGAAGCTGTGGACTTTTGGAACTCCATCAAGCAGATGAGAGGTACGGTGTTGACATTTATTGTGCGTAGTCTATTGAAGGTCTATTGTCTATTGAGAAGCGTAGAAGGTCTATTGTCTATTGAGAAGCGTAGAAGGTCTATTGTCTATTGAGAAGCGTAGAAGGTCTATTGTCTATTGAGAAGCGTATATATTGAGTGTAGTCTGTTGAAGGCGGATGATGAAGCTGTGAACTTTTGGAACTCCAGCAAGAGGATGAGAAGTACGGTGTTGACATTTCTTGTGCAGTGCAGTGGACTTATGTTGTTATTAACAATAATGACATATATTATATAATGACAAATGTTGACATATATTAAATATATATGTCGTTGTTTGTTAGAAGAAGCAATGAGAAGTATAAAGACTATTATAATAAATATAAAATAGCAACCAATGCAATAAATAAAGACTATTATAAGCAGTAGGGAACTTAAGACATCTCTTGTGCTGTGCAGTAGCCTTATGTTGTTATTAACAATAATGACATGTATTATATTATGACAAATGTTGGCATATATTGAATATATATGTCGTTATTGGTTAGAAGAAGCAATGAGAAGTATAAAGACTTACAGGAATTGAGCAGTAGGGAACTTAAGACATCTCTTGCCAGTGCAGTGGCACTGTATTTGATATCGGATCCGAAATTTGATTTGATTCGCTACACCGAAATTATTGGTTGTCGTTATTGGTTGGAAGGAAGCAATGAGGAGAAGTAAAAAGACTTAAAGGAATTCAGTAGTAGGGATCTTGAAAAATATATGACGGGTGATGATTTTGATTAGTTATCGAGATGAAGCGTGAAAATATAATTTAAATTTTTCTATTTTCTTTAAAGATGTGAGATGAGCAACAGGGAATCTAAAAAAATATGACGGATGTTGATTTTGATTAGTTATCGAGATGAAGCGTCAAAATACATTTGAAATATTTTATTTCCTTTAGAGATATTTTCGAAGATGATTTTTAGACTCTCATCTCAGACTTGGTCATTGATTACTTTACCTGTTCTACTTACGTTTCGCTCATAACTATTGAGATCGCCAGCATATTATTGCAATTTGGTTTGTTCAAAGAAAAATATTTATTTTCTCTTCGATATAAGATAATTCCAAACACTAATCACCCTAACAAAATTTAGAGTCGCCCCAGCTTCTGGTAATCCAAATCAGAAGCTGCCGCGTCTGTAAATTTTCACTGGGAAGAACTCCTACCCTAACAAAATTTAGTCGACTTTACTTGTTCTACTTACGTTTCGCTCATAACTATTGAGATCGCTAGCATATTATTGCAATTTGGATGAATAAAAGTTTGTCTTTTCTCTGCTAAATTAAGATAATTCCAAACACTAAACAATTGCTGTGTGCCTCAAACTTTCACTGGACAATTGATGTTTACCTCAGATTCTTCGCTTGCTATTAATCTTATGTGTGACGTGCCCTCGAAGTTCGTTTGATATAAGTTTATCTTTTCTCTACTCAATGTAAAATAATTCCAAACACTAAACAATTGCTCTGTACCTCAGATTCTTCGCTTGCTATTAATCTCATGTGTGACGTGCCCTCGAAGTTCGTTTGATATAAGTTTGTCTTTTCTCTACTCAATGTAAAATAATCCCACATTCTTAACAATTGCTTTTCTCTGCTAAATTAAGATAATTCCATATATTTAACAATTTCTGTTCACCTCAGAACACTATGGCCATGAAGACACTCTGGGCAACCTCAGATTCTTCGCCTGCTATTAATCTTATGTGTGACGTTCCCTCGAAGTTCGTTTAATATAAGTTTGTCTTTTTCTCTACTCAATGTAAAATAATTCCCATATACTTAACAATTGCTTTTCTCTGCTAAATTAAGAAAATTCAATATACTTAACAATTGCTGTTCACATCAGAACACTATGGCCATGAAGACACTCTGGGCAACCTCAGATTCTTCGCTTAATGCTATTAATCTTATGTGTGACGTGCCCTCGAAGTTCGTTTGATATAAGTTTGTTTTTTCTGATATAAGTTTGTTTTTTCTCAGCTAAATTAAGATACTTCCAAACACTAACTCTACTCAATGTAAGATAATTCCATATATTTAACAATTTCTGTACCTCTCAGAACACTATGGCCATGAAGACATTCTGGGCAACCCTGGTCTACTGCACAGCGCGTGTCTCGATGGCCTCGTGAGCTCGTCTCTCAGCGTCAAACTTCAGATATTTTACAGCGATCGCGACCCTATTGTCTTCTGCTCCAACTGTGAGTTATTATTACACTGTATTATTATTATTATTACACTGCATTATTATTATTATTACACTGTTAGAAAAAACGGCGAAAAAACGGTCCCACTGGCATTCTAGTGGCCGGTTGCCCCGTGAAAATAAACTGTTTCGCCGTTTTTATCAGATGTTTTACGGATTTCTAGTGTTATATTAGAATAAAAACGGCGACACGGTGCTTCTTTTCACGTGGCGACCGGCCACTGAAACGCCGGTAATACCGTTAATGGTAATTTACACAGGTAATTACGGTACTTAACAGTGTAACTTACTTAACTGTAACTTAACAAACGGTAATTTAACAGTGTAGCGATGTGATCTGTCGTCTTCTGCTCCAACTATGAGTCTGATGCTATTTTTCTAGTGACGTGGGGTTTGGGGTGGGGGAATGCGTGCCGATATTATGTCTGATAATAATGTTCAATAATGTTAATAGTAAGATTAACATTATTGAACATTATTATCAGACATATAATGATGATGTTAATAATAAGTCCTGTCAAAATAACTTTAGGAATAAAAAAACATAGATCCCGCAATTAAACTTTTCTGAAAATGTCTCTCGCACCCAATATTTTGGCAAGTACCCCGAATCTAACCTTGGAATCAACAACGGCTTCTTGCATCATAAGATGCAAGTTGTTGCTTTCGACTTCCGCGAGTCCGAAAGGTGAAATCAGTCCTCGACCAGAAGTCGTGAATGCCGCTGAGATAACATAACATAACATAGTGATGTCGGCGCTGAAGAGTAGGCCTGATGTGGCCTGTCGCCGATTCTTTTCCTTTTCGTGCCTTGTTCACAGAAGATCTAAAATCGTGTCATTTGACCGGATCTTTTCATGACTGACTATAGTTTGAAGTAGCTACTGGACTTCCACCGGGTTCGATATGGTGCTAGGCATTTCAAATCTGAACATATATTTTTCCATAGCTTTATCTAGTCTGTTCTTGAACGTGTTCATACTTGGAGCGCCAACGATGTCATCGGGGAGGCTGTTCCACATGTCGGTGATTCGAAGCGAGAAGAAATTTTGTCGCGTGGAGATGAGCGAAAAAAACTGACGAACAAACAATGCTTCCACAGAAGACCAAGATTTTTTGAAGAAAACTCCAGTCAAACTCAATATACTGGACCATTCTTCAAACAACACAATTTATACACGGTTGAGCTTGCAACGGCTTCAAACTTTCGGGCAATAGCATAGACGCAGTAGAAGCTAATGGATTTATTGAATAAACGCTGAAAGTTAAACAACAAAGCTTATCAAGACCAGGGCCCATACTTTCAAAAAAAGTTAAGATATCGTAAGTTCATCAGCCAATCATTGGCGGCCTTTCGAGCAAAATCCACCAATCACGGAAAAGAAAATAGAGCGTAAGTACTTACGTTCACTTAGCGAGTTTTGAAAGTATGGCCCAGGCATAGGAAGTTTCCTATTTGAGTGGCTAACGTAACGGCTTCAAACTTTCGGACAGTAGAAGTCAATCATTTTTTAACGCGGTAGAAGTCGATAACTTTTTGACGCAGTAGGATTCAATAGATTTATTGAATGAACGCTGAAAGTTAACCAACAAAGCTTATCAAGACCAGGCATAGGAAGTTTCCTATTTGAGTGGCTAACGTACAACAAAGTCATGCTGCAATAACCATTGAAACACTGATCAAAGTCTTGATAAAGATAACAGCTGTTGCGCTCGAAAAATTTAACGTAATCCGAACGCACTAGCTAGCGGTAACCCAGACTGCCAAGCTACTTAAGAGAGGATATACTCATTATAATATACATTATAATGATATTGTATATCATATACAAAATAATTTACATATACATCATATTATTTATGAGTGGATATACATATAAATAAACTCATTAGGGAGAGAAAGCCGTGTATTAACCAAATTTAAATGTGTTATAATTATGATCCCGTGTAAGTATTACAACAAATTTAAATGTGTTATTATTATGATCTCGTATAAACACTTATCTTTAATGGCTGCCATGCCATCTCTAGTCGCCAGTTGCACGAGGCTGGAGTAGCTGAAAATTATAGACTGTTTTGCTCATCGTGTATTTTTTGCCACATTGTGATGCTTCTTTTTTAGTGCATTTTCTCATTTATGGAAAAAAGGCACTATTGTGCTCGCCATGTCTGTCCGTTCGTCCGTCCGTCCGTCCGTCCGTCCGTCTGTCCGTCCGTCTGTCTGTCTGTCTGTCTGTCTGTCTGTCTGTCTGTCTGTCTGTCTGTCTGTCTGTCTGTCTGTCCGTCATTCCGTCCGTCCATCTGTCCGTCCGTTCGTCCGTCCGTCCGTCCGTCCGTCTGTCTGTCTGTCTGTCTGTCCGTCTGTCTGTCTGTCCGTCCGTCCGTCCGTCCATCCTCCCGTTCGTCCGTCTGTCCGTTTGTCTGTCTGTCTGTCTGTCTGTGACTTAACGTTTTCGTCGATTTTGAGAAAAAGCGCTCTCTGTCACTCACTGCAATGAGTACTGAAATTTTATTATTTTAAAAAGAATTATTTTTATTTAATTAATAATATTTAAATTTATTTATCAAATAATTTATTCGTGCAGTGGACGCCAACGTGGAGCACATTGTGATGCAGGCTCTCGTGTCCTTGGATCTCTCCGAAAGTTCCTCCAATTTCCTGCTCAAAGTGAGTTTTGATTCTGGTAGGAATAACACTACAAAGCTGTACTCGCCACACTCTGGTAGGAATAACACTACACAGCTGTACTCGTCACACTCTGGTAGGAATAACACTACACAGCTGTACTCGCCACTCTCTGGTAGGAATAGCACTACAAAGCTGTAGTGCTATTCCTACCATACCTTAGAACCGTGACTACCTACTCGCCACACTCTGGTAGGAATAACACTACAAAGCTGTACTCGCCACTCTCTGGTAGGAATAACACTACCATCCGCCGACACAATGAATCGTGTATGTACTACATACTATAAAAGTATTCTCGTAACTTTTTTTCAGTGGCGGCTTGGCTCTATTTTTTCCATAAGACTTGCAATGACGCTTTTCCTGAACCTCGACTAGTTAACTCTTTATGGAACAAAATACCGGACTTTGTTTGACCATTTTTATGTGTAGTGTTGTTTGTTTGTTCATGCTTATGTGTAGTGTATAGTATGTGGGCAGCTTCATGCTTATTTGTTGAGAAGATTACCCGCAGACTTAGTCATCCCATATGAGCTTCAGCGAACAAAAAAAGCAACTTTTCCTTAGTTATTTACAGATAATTAAGCTCCTGCTTAAATGAAATTTGCTTAGGCCGTATCATGAAGGTTGTGCAAAAGAAAAAACTTCAATATTGTATAAAATTTTATTTTTATATATCTCATATTTTGTGATCTAATATTTTATGAATTTTATTTATTTTTTATTATATTGAATTATATTTTATTTAGTAATGTAAAGAGTTAGGATTCAAGCGAACACGCTGACAAATTACCGGCTGATATAAAGTATTAATAAATATAAGGAATACTCCCCCCAATTAATGGACATATTGGCCCACTTATCACTTGTGGTGTCGGTGCGTGGCTCAAATTAACAAGCTGACAAATCACCAACTTATATAAAGTAATATTGAATATAAGGAAAATCCCCTTCTTTATTGGACATATTGACCCACTTATCACTTATGGTGCAGGTGTAAAGTAATATTAAATATAATGAAAATCTCTCCCCCAATTAATGGACAAATTGACCCATTTTTTTATAAGTAATACCCCCTTCTTTAATGGGTATATTGACCCACTTATCACTTGTGGTGCAGGTCACCAGCTGATATAAAGTAATAAGAAATATAGAGTAATAAGAAACATAGAGTAATAAGAAATATAGAGTAATAAGTAATACCCCCTTATTTAATGGACAAATTGACCCACTTATGGTACAGGTACGTGGAGTAGAAGAATATTTATGTGGCCTGACGACGCTGGGTGAGAGCGTGTACGTGCACGGGTGTGTCAAGTACGACAACGACGTGTTGTTCACACTCGTACGTGCCCAGGACGTGCCCAAACCCTACCTTAGAACCGTGAGTACCTGACCAAACCCTACCTTAGAACCGTGAGTACCTGACCAAACCCTACCTTAGAACCGTGAGTACCTGACCAAACCCTACCTTAGAACCGTGAGTACCTGACCAAACCCTACCTTAGAACCGTGAGTAACACGTGCAACTTTATCATAAATTATAAACTTTATCTTAAGGAATATTTTTTAACTGTTCAATTGTCATCATTGTAATTGTATGATTATTCATCGTACAGAACTTCTGGGCACTTATTGAAAGTATTAGGAGAGTCAATAATTAAAGGTTATTGATGATGAATAGAATGTATTTTCATGGTAAAGTTGATACGTTATAATGATAATGTTGATCTGGTTATCAGCAAAATATATGCACAATTATTTTAATACAGTTATAACGGTAATCTTTATAATTAAGAGTTATATTACTGATGATGAGCTTGATTTAATTATCAGCGAAATCAATGCATAATTATTTTAACACAGTTAGAATGGCAATGTTTATAATGAACAGTTCTATTCATAATGATAATATTGATATAATTATCAGCTAAATTAATGCATAATTATAATTACTTTATCACAGTTATAATGGTAATGTTTATAATTAACAGTTCTTTTTATAATGATAAATTGATCTGATTATCAGGGTGATCAATGCACAATTATTAGTATAAGTAACAAATGATAATATTGATCTAATTATCAGCAAAATCAATGCACAATTATTAGTATAAGTAACAAATGATAATTTTAATCTGATTAGTGATTATCAGCTAAATCAATGCACAATCATTAGTGTAAGTACCACTGTTACAGGCTGCAGATGATGAGCGGGTGTTATGATGAACAGTTCTATTAATAACGATAATGTTCATGTAATTATCAGGGAAATTAATGCACAATTAATAGTATAAGTATTTAAGTATAACTTATATTATAAGTATGCACAATTAATAGTATAAGTATATAAGTATTAATAACACTGTTGCAGGCTGCTGATGATGAGCGGGTGGCATCACTGGCGGTTGAGTCGTTGCTGTCAGCCGGCGGTACGCAGGTGCTACACTACGACCGTCTGCACATCGCTATTGGTGTGAAGTGTTGCTTTGTTATAGTGCTATGTTCATACTAGTGACTATTAATAATTTATTTTATAGCACATCGCTATTGGTGCGAAGTGTTGCTTTGTTATAGTGCTACATTCATACTAGTGACTATTAATAATTTATTTTATAGCACATCGCTATTGGTGCGAAGTGTTGCTTTGTTATAGTGCTATATTCATACTATTAATAATGATAATTGACTATAAATAATTTATTTTATAGCACATCGCTATTGGTGCGAAGTGTTGCTTTGTTATAGTGCTATATTCATACTAGTGACTATTAATAATGATAATTGACTATAAATAATTTATTTTATAGCACATCGCTATTGGTGCGAAGTGTTGCTTTGTTCTGGTGCTACATTCATCCTAGTGACTATAAATAGTTTAGTCCAGCATTACATCCATCCTAGTGACTATAAATAATTAGTCCAGCATTACATCCGTCCTAGTGACTATAAATAATTAGTCTAGCATTACATCCATCCTAGTGACTATAAATAATTTAGTCCAGCGTTACATCCATCCTAGTGACTATAAATAATTTAGTCCAGCGATACATCCATCCTAGTGACTATAAATAATTTAGTCTAGCGTTACATCCATCCTAGTGACTATAAATAATTTACTCAAGGGTTACATCCATCCTAGTGACTATAAATAATGTAGTCTAGCATTACATCCATCCTAGTGACTATTAATAATTTACTCAAGGGTTACATGTATCCTAGTGACTATAAATAATTCAACAATAAGGCAACACGAACCAGTCATTTTCACCTTATGTCTGGTGTTTGTAGCTGGAATAATCAGTGTTATTTATCCACTTGATGCTAGTTATTATATATAATAAATAAATAGAAATTTACAGCTATTAACGCATAAATGGCAATGAATTTAACTACACCTCCGTCTTTCAGAGCAATTCGAGCGTGAGCTGCAGAACCTTCAGAAGAGCGGCTTCCTGCTGGCGGGCGGCACACCCTTGCAGGACCTGCCCTCCGCCATGCGATCGTCCAACGTCACCCAGGTCCTGTGAGCCGTACACAGGTCCTGTGAGCCATACGCAGCCGTACACGCAGGTCCTGTGAGCCGTACGCAGGTCCTGTGAGCCGTACGCAGGNCATAATTTGTTTATACCTTACCTATCAAATTTACTTATCAAAGCTCAAAATTGTGTTCTTAACTTATTAACTTAAGGTATTCATATTTTATTCAAGGTATTTCTGAACATGATTTGTTCATACCTTACTTATTAAATTTAATTGTCAAAGCTCAAAATTGTCTTCTTAACTTATTAGGGTTAAAATCTTCTATTCAAGGTATTATTGAACAATATTTGTTCATACTATCTTATCAAAGCTCACAATTATCTTCTTAACTTATTAACGTACGGTTTTAATATTTTATTCAAGGTTGTCAGGCAAGTTGCAAAAATTGAGCGGTTAGAAAATTATTCAGTTTCTATAAGAAGGAACGTCTTAATTATTGCAGGAAATTCCTTCACATCTTTATAATTATTATCAAAGCTTAAAATTGTCTTCTTAACATATTAAGGTAATAATCTTTTATTCAAGGTATTACTGTTAAGTAAGTTGCAAAAATTAGAATTAGAAAATTATTTAGTTTCGTGTAAAAAGCAATTACGGCTTTAGGAAATTCATTACCATCTGTGTAATTACTTTTGAGCAATGACCCACTTTTGGATAATGACCCACTTTTGGTTAATGACCCACTTTGAGCAATGACCCACTTTGAGCAATGACCCACTTTGAGCAATGACCCATTTTTGAACAACGACCCACTTTTGGACAATGACCCACTTTTGGACAATGACCCACTTTCGAGCAATGACCCACTTATGGACAATGACCCACTTTTGAGCAATGACCCACTTTTGAGCAATGACCCATTTTTGGACAATGACCCACTTGTGAGCAATGACCCACTTTTGGACAATGACCCACTTTTGAACCATGACCCACTTTTGAACCATGACCCACTTTTGAACAATGACTCACTTTTGGACAATGACCCACTTTTGAGCAATGACCCACTTTTGAGCAATGACCCACTTTTGTTTTGAACAAGGACCCACTTCTGGGCAACGACCCACTTTTGGACAATGACCCACTTTTGGACAATGACCCACTTATGGACAATGACCCACTTATGGACAATGACCAACTTTTGGACAATGACCAACTTTTGAGCAATGACCCACTTATAGACAATGACCCACTTTTGGACAATGACCAACTTTTGGACAATGACCAACTTTTGAGCAATGACCCACTTTTGGACAATGACCTTTTTTTGAGTAATGAGCTTTTTTGATTAATGACCCACTTGTGAACAATGACCCACTTTTGGACAGTGACCCACTTTTGGACAATGACCCACTTATAGACAATGACCCACTTTTGAACCATGACCCACTTTTGGACAATGACCCACTTTTGGACAATGACCCACTTTTGAGCAATGACCCACTTTTGGACAATGACCCACTTTTGAGCAAATTCTGGGAGGGAGTTCTGGTGAAGACAAAAAAATATAACTCAGTACTCACTGCAGTGAGTGACAGAGAGCGCATTTTCTCGTCGACGAAAACGTGAAGTCACGGACAGACGGACGGACATGACGAGCACTATAGTGCATTTTTCCCATAAATGTGAAAATACGCTAAAATGTCTGCTCAGGGAGTTCTGGACGGTGTTAGACAATGACCCACTTTTGGACAACGACTCACTTTTGGACAATGACCCACTTTTGAGCAATGACCCACTTATGAGCAAATTATAAGGCTAAGTTGATAACCTGAGTCTCCTCAGGGAGTTCTGGACGGTGTTGGACAATGACCCACTTTTGGACAATGACCCACTTTTGAGTAATGACCCACTTTTGGACAATGACCCACTTTTGGACAATGACCCACTTTTGGACAATGACCCACTTTTGAACAATGACCCACTTTTGAGCAATGACCCACTTATGAGCAATGACTCACTTTTGGACAATGACCCACTTTTGGGCAATGACCCACTTTTGGACTATGACCCACTTTTGGACAATGACCCACTTTTGAGCAATGACCCACTTTTGGGCAGTGACCCACTTTTGGACAATGACCCACTTTTGGACAATGACCCACTTTTGGAAAATGACACAATGAACCTTCTTCTCCTCAGGGAGTTCTGGACGGTGAAGACATGACGTGTCTGGGGGAGGCGCCCTCCAGTGGAGGAGGTAACCTCATCACAGGCAGCGAGGACGCTGATCCTGAGCTGCTCAAAGGGCGTCTCAGGGACGCCACCAGCAGGCTGTGCAGCGCCCTTACGTCCTTCCTCAGGATGTATTCCCGCGCCTTCAGGGTCGACTTCTATGTGCCTCGCGTCGTCGAGTTATCTGCGGGTAATGTGCCGTAATGATTAATAATAATAATTAATAATAAGATTTAATAATAATTAATAACGACTTCTATGTGCCTTGCGTCGTCGAATTGACTGCGGGTAATGTGCAGTAGTAATGATTAATAATAATAATTAATAAGAAGAACAACGTACAATAATAATGCTGCGTATATATTAAATGATTTCTATGTGGAGTAAATACATCAATGTGCAGTAATGCTGCAGGTAATGTGCAGTAATGATTATTAATAATAATTAAAATAATAATAACATCAATGTGCGCAGTAATGATTAATAATAGTAGAATCAATGTGCAATATAATGTTGGGTGTATATTAAATGACTTCTATGTGCCCCGCGTCGTCGAGTTATCTGCGGGTAAATACATCAATGTGTTGTAATGATTAATAATAATAATTAATAATGACTTCTATGTGCCTCGCGTTGTGGAGTTATCTGCGGGTAGTGTGCAATAATGATTTTTAATAATAATAATTAATAATAATAATAATAATTAATAGTAACATTAACGTGCAATATAATGACTTCTATGTGCCTCACGTCGTCGAATTATCTGCGGGTAATGTGCAGTAATGATTAATAACAATAATTAATAATAACATCAATGTGTAATAATGATACTTGCAAATTAAATGGTTCTACTTGCAGTGTTAAATTTTTTATTTGCAATCTATTTTTTTTATTGAGAATCAATTTCTGGACTAGTTCTAATTTGATGCTAATTTATAGGTGTACCTTAATGCATAAATGTCTATGTTAAATTTATTGTTATGCATATGTTATAGTAGTTATTATATGTTATATATGTTATAGTTATTATATTATAGTTAAAATTATTGTATTAAATGTCTATGTCCGCACCCGAATGCCCGGCTAGCTGTTTGATGGTCAATATTTAAGATTCTACAATCGTTTAAAATATTTTTATCTGTTTAAAAAGGACTGAAATATGTAGTATAAGTGCAACACAATGTATGAATAAAATGCGATATGGGCCCTAAATGTGTCACCCGGAATGCAGACTTTTCTTACCTTATAGATCTTGACACGTTGACTACGTATTGGTACATATGCGTTCCACGAAATGTATTTCTCCAGGAGGTAGTGGTACATAATTCAGGTTGCCTAAAATCGGCCAAATCCGAGAACAAAAAAGGCCAAAAAGGCCGATAATTCAATGTATATACTAGTTTATTTGTAGGTTCCGCTATAAAAATTCCATTTATTTCATTTTTGCAGTATGCAAAATTTAATTAGGAAGTACCCCTATCATAAATTTTAGCCGGTCAACGCAATTGAGAAAAACTAAATCACGGAATTTGTCCGGAAAAAATGACCGTCTGGCAACCCTGCTTAAAAAAAGTACAAAAAATGAAATAATAGTACAAGATGAAGCAATCGTAGTCAACGTTTTAATATCCAGACCTTTTACTTTGCTCGGTAGTGTTTGTTTTATATTTGAAATTTTAAGTGACGAGGTATCATTTTTTTACGAAAGAACTGTATCAATGTGGAAGTGTTTGTTTTATATATGCTATTTTAAGTTAAGAGGTACGGTATAATTTTTGTACAAAAGAACTTTATCAATATGGTAGTGTTTGTTTTATATTTGCAAATTTGAGTTAAAAGGGATCATTTTTGTACATATGAACTTTATCAATGTAGTAGTGTTTGTTTTTTATCTACAATTTTAAGTAAAGAGGTATCATTTTTGCACAAAAGAACTGTATCAATATGGTAGTGTTTTTAAATTTTATATTTGCGATTTTACGCTAAGAGGTATGATTATTGTACAAAATAGCTCTATCAATGTGGTATTATTTTTTTTACAAATTTATGCTAAGAGATATAATTATTGTACAAAATAAGTGTATGAATGTAATGTCTTCAATAATAACTGTATGAATGTCATATCTTCAGAGCCCGTGGACAGTCGTACAGTGCGTGACCAGATGAGCGTACGTGTACGTGGACTGCACCGTCTGAGCAGCACGTGGCGGTACGACGAATACTTCGTACATAAAAACTGTTTGAACTGTATAATAACTGTATGAATGTCATATCTTCAGAGCCCGTGGACAGTCGTACGGTACGTGACCAGATGAGCGTACGTGTACGTGGACTGCACCGTCTGAGCAGCACGTGGCGGTACGACGAATACTTCGTACATAATAATGTATAATAACTGTAATGTCTTCAATAATAACTGTATGAATGTCATGTCTTCAGAGCCCGTGGACAGTCGTACGGTGCGTGATCAGATGAGCGTACGTGTACGTGGATTGCACCGTCTGAGCAGCACGTGGCGGTACGACGAATACTTCGTAGAGGCGCAGCTGTACCACGGCTCCCGGTGCATTGGAGAGGCTCAGCTGTCGCCTAAAGCGAGGCCTACTGTTGGCCTACGCTGCTATCCGCTAGTGCCTTTCAACTTTACGTACGTAACTTATGGAGTCTTTATACTTTACGTACGTAACTTCTCCTTCTTTATTGTTTTTAGCGTGCATTTTTTTAGTTTTTGCTTGTTTATGGTATTCAGCTTGCAAATTCTAAAGCGAGGCCCACTGTTGGCCTACGCTGCTATCCCCTCGTGCCTTTCAACTTTACGTACGTAACTTTTCATTCTTTATTGTTTTCTGCTTGAATTTTTTTAGTTTTTGCTTGTTTATGGTTTTCAGCTTGCAAATTTTAAAGCTAGGCCCACGGTCGGTAAAAATTTGTAGTTTACGGAGAGGCTCAATTGTCGCCTAAAGCGAGGCCTACTGTCGGCCTTCGCTGCTATCCGCTCGTGCCTTTCAACTTCACGTACGTCACTTATAATTTATAGTTTTTAGATTAAAAATTTGTAGTTTTAAGAGGCTCAATTGTCGCCTAAAGCGAGGCCTACCGTCGGCCTACGCTGCTATCCGCTAGTGCCTTTCAACTTTACGTACGTAACTTATAGAATCTTTATTGTTTTAGCATGATTTTTTTTTGTTTTAAGCTTGCAATTTTTTATTTTTAAGCTTGCAAATATTTAGTTTTAAGCTTCAATTTATAGTTTTCACGGTCGGCCTTCGCTGCTATCCGCTAGTGCCTTTCAACTTTACGTGCGTAACTTATAATTTATAGTTTTCAGATTAAAAATTTGTAGTTTTAAGAGGCTCAATTGTCGTCTAAAGCGAGGCCTACGGTCGGCCTACGCTGCTATCCCCTAGTGCCTTTCAACTTTACGTACGTCACTTATGGAATCTTTATTGTTTTAGCATGATTTTTTTTGTTTTAAGCTGGCAAATATTTAGTTTTAAGCTTCAATTTATAGTTTTCAGCTTTAAATTTTTAGTTTAAAGCGAGGCCTACCGTCGGCCTACGCTGCTATCCCCTCGTGTCTTTCAACTTTACGTACGTAACTTATAATTTATAGTTTTCAGATTAAAAATTTGTAGTTTACGGTATGCTTCTTAAGTTCTTTATAATTGTCGGCTTAAAAATTTTTAGTTTATACTTCTTTATAGTTTTTAGCATGATTTTTTTTAGTTTTTGCTTGTTTATGGTTTTAAATCTTGCAAATTTTTAGTTTTTGTGTGTTTATAGTTTTCAACTTGAAATTTTTTAGTTTTTATTTGTTTATAGTTTTCATCTTAAAATTTGTAGTTTTTGCTTCTTTATTGTTTGGCGCTCAAAAATTTTTAGTGGCTCAATATTACAGGGATCAAGTTCCTTGATAAACGCTATGTAAATTTAGGACTAGTACCAGCTCAAACATTGACCTCCGATGCAAGTCTAGCATTGTAGAAGTCGATGCGTTATGAAAGTTATTAACGTGAAAGCCGATAAGTTTTCCGTAGATTTAGTACAGAAGTCGATATGTGTATCAACATGGAAGCCGATAATTTTTCTGTAGATTTATTACAGTCTTCTGTCGATTTAGAGCAGTTTTCTGTAGATTTGGTGCAGTTTCCAGTCGAATTAGTGCAGTTTTGTGTCGATTTAGTGCAGTTTTCTGTAATTTTAGTGCAGTTTTCTGTTGATTTAGCGCAGTTTTCTGTTGATTTAGGGCAGTTTTCTGCGGATTTAGTGCAGTTTTCTGTCGATTTAGCGCAGTTTTCTGTCGATTTAGCGCAGTTTTCTGCCGATTTAGTGCAGTTTTCTGCCGATTTAGCGCAGTTTTCTGCCGATTTAGCGCAGTTTTCTGCCGATTTAGTGCAGTTTTCTGCCGATTTAGCGCAGTTTTCTGTCGATTTAGTGCAGTTTTCAGTAGATTTAGTGCAGTTTTCCGTAGATTTAGTGCAGTAAAAGACGTATATGTGCAGCTTGGACATCATGGCTCGGGTAAACATCCTGCCGCTTGAGAGTCGGCTCGTGTTGACAGTGTTTGCTTTCCGTCAGTAGATTAAGCGCAGTTTTCTGCTGATTTAGCGCAGTTTTCTGCCGATTTAGTACAGTTTTCGGTAGATTTAGCGCAGTTTTCTGCCGATTTAGTGCAGTTTTCCGTAGATTTAGTGCAGTTTTCTGTCGATTTAGCGCAGTTTTCTGTCGATTTAGCGCAGTTTTCTGCCGCTTTAGTGCAGTTTTCTATCGATTTAGCGCAGTTTTGTACAGATTTAGCGCAGTTTTCTGTCATAGTAGTGCAGTTTTCTGTAGATTTAGTGCAGTTTTCAGTCAATTTAGTGCAGGTTTCTGCAGATTTAGGGCCGTAAAGAACGGCTTTGTGCAGTTTTCTGCCGATTTAGTGCAGTTTTCCGTAAATTTAGTGCAGTAACAAACGACTTTGTGCAGTTTGGACATCATGGCTCGGGTAAACATCCTGCCACTTGAGAGCCGTCTCGTGCTGACAGTGTTTGGTCTGCGTCAGTAGATTTAGTGCAGTTTTATGCCGATTTAGCGGTTTTCTGCCGATTTAGCGCAGTTTTCTGGGCATTTAGTGCAGTTTTGTGCAGATTTAGCGCAGTTTTCCGTAGATTTAGTGCAGTAAAGGACTACTTTGTGCAGTTTTCTGCCGATTTAGTGCAATTTTCCAGTTTTTTGCCGATTTAGCGCAGTTTTCTGCCGATTTAGCGCAGTTTTCTGGTGATTTAGTGCAGTTTTCTGTCGATTTAGCGCAGTTTTTTGCCGATTTAGTGCAGTAGCAAACGCTTTTGTGCAGCTTGGACATCATGGCTCGGGTAAACATCCTGCCGCTGGAGAGCCGGCTCGTGCTGACAGTGTTAGGTCTGCGTCAGTAGAATTAGTGCAGTTTTCTGCCGATTTCGGCAGTTTTCTGCCGATTCAGCGCAGTTTTCTGCCGATTTAGCGCAGTTTTATGCCGATTTAGCGCAGTTTTCCGTAAATTTAGTACAGTAAAGGACGCTTTTGTGCAGTTTGGACATCATGGCCCGGGTAAACATCCTGCCGCTGGAGAGCCGTCTCGTGCTGACAGTGTTAGGTCTGCGTCTGTAGATTTAGTGCAGTTTTCTGCCGATTTAGCGCAGTTTTGTGCAGATTCAGCGCAATTATCTGTAGATTTGGTGCAGTAAAGGACGACTTTGTGCAGCTTGGACATCATGGCTCGCGTAAACATCCTGCCACTAGAGAGCCGGCTGGTGCTGACAGTGTTTGGTCTGCGTCTGTAGATTTAGCGCAGTTTTTGCCGATTTAGCGCAGTTTTCTGCCGATTTCGTGCAGTTTTCTGTTGATTAGCGCAGTTTTCTGTCGATTTAGTGCAGTTTTCTGCCGATTTTGTGCAGTTTTCTGCTGATTTAGCGCAGTTTACCGCCGATTTAGCGCAGTTTACCGCCGATTTAGCGCAGTTTTCTGTCGATTTAGGGCAGTTTTCTGCCGATTTAGTGCAGATTTAGTGCAGTAAAGGACTATTTTTGTGCAGCTTGGACATCATGGCCCGGGTAAACATCCTGCCACTAGAGAGCCGGCTGGTGCTGACAGTGTTTGGTCTGCGTCAGCTCACCAACGCTGACGGTGACGCACCGCGCTACATCAGGGAGGAGGTGGGGTGGACCGCCCTCCAGTGCTACTCCTTCGACAGGTAAAAGGAAACTTATTTATTCCTATTATTCCTTTGATCTTTACTTTTTATATAATTTTGATCTAAATAAAACGCCTACCTCGTTTATTCCTGTTCTTCCTTTGAAAGGACTACGTACGGTACCTTATTTATTCCTATTCTTTTGGTCTTTGTTTTTTTATATAATTTTGATCTAAAGCTACTCCTTCGACAGGTTAAAAGGAAACTTATTTATTCCTATTATTTCTTTTGATCTTTATTATTTATATAATATTGATCTAAATAAAACGCCTACCTCATTTATGCCTATTATTCCTTTGGTCATTATTTTTTAGATAATTTTGATCTAAAGCTACTCCTTCGACAGATAAAACGACCACTTCATTTATTCATATTCTTCATTTGAACTTTTCTCATTAATAGAAAAAAATGTAACTCAGTACTCACTGCAGTGAGTGACAGAGAGCGCATTTTCTCGTCGACGAAAACGTGAAGTCACGAACGGGCGGACGGACAGACGGACGGACGGACGGACATGACGAGCACAATAGTGCCTTTTTAGCGCATTTTCACATTAGTGGAGAAACGGCGCTATTGTGCTCGTCATGTCCGTCCGTCCATCCGTCTGTCTGTCTGTCCGTCCGTCCGTGACCTCAAGTTTTCGTCGACGAGAAAATGCGCTCTCTGTCACTCACTGCAGTGAGTACTGAGTTATATTTTTTATATAATTCTAATCTAAATTTTGAGATTATCACCTATATTTGTTATAGGTATAATTTTAAACTAACTGTTATATAATTTTAAACGCTCTAATCTAAATATGAGACTCGATGTAATTGTTAGGTGCAGGTGTACAGTGTCGCAATAATTGTCATCACTATCATTAATATGATAATGATAGTGATAATAATTATATTAATTATTATCACTATCATTAATATGATAATGATAGTGATAATAATTATATTAATTATTATCACTATCATTAATATGATAATGATAGTGATAATAATTATATTAATTATTATCACTATCATTAATATGATAATGATAGTGATAATAATTATATTAATTATTATCACTATCATTAATANGAGTTGTGTGCTGCTGTGTGAGTTGTGTGCTGCTGTGTGAGTTGTCCACTGCTGTGTGAGTTGTCCACTGCTGTGTGAGTTGTGTGCTGCTGTGTGAGTTGTGTGCTGCTGTGTGAGTTGTCCGCTGCTGTGTGAGTTGTCCGCTGCTGTGTGAGTTGTGTGCTGCTGTGTGAGTTGTGTGCTGCTGTGTGAGTTGTCCGCTGCTGTGTGAGTTGTCCGCTGCTGTGTGAGTTGTCCGCTGCTGTGTGAGTTGTCCTCTGCTGTGTGAGTTGTCCTCTGCTGTGTGAGTTGTGTGCTGCTGTGTGAGTTGTGTGCTGCTGCGTGAGTTGTCCGCTGCTGTGTGAGTTGTGTGCTGCTGTGTGAGTTGTGTGCTGCTGTGTGAGTTGTCCACTGCTGTGTGAGTTGTCCACTGCTGTGTGAGTTGTGTGCTGCTGTGTGAGTTGTGTGCTGCTGTGTGAGTTGTGTGCTGCTGTGTGAGTGTCTGGGGCGAGGTGCTGGCCTTTAATTATCACCTTGATAATCATCATTATCAAATCATTATCGTTTTGATAATTATTGTCAACATATCATACTTGAAAACATGAACATAAGAGTAGCGTTTTCATGAAGAGAAACCTTTGCTTAAGCGGAAATTTTTTTAACCAATATCTGTTGGGTTCTTTTTACCACAGTTTTTTTACCAGTTTTATGATGGGCGGTAAATTTTTTGACAATATTTGTTGGGTTTTTTCCGCAGGTTTTTTTTACCAGTTTTATGAACGTTCAACGCTTTCATGATTTGAAGAGTGTTGGGCTTTTTCAGGTTTCGTTCTGGTAAGACGCGAATGACAATATACGATACAAATGAGGATTTAATAATTGAAATGAAGCTATTAATCCGACTTTAAGCACCTAATTAATTAATTCGATTATCTTAAATAGCAGCTCGGGACTAACAAGATTGCAATGGCCGCCTCAAGCGAGGCTATTATTATTGGTTTTAGCTCAAATATTAATAATTTAGCTCAAGAAAATTAAGTAATAAAGTAAAGTATTAGTAGTAAAGGTAGTAATAATAGTAGTAGGTAGTTGTAGTAAAGTATTATATAAGTACTACCTAACTAATAGTAGGTAGGGTAGTAGTAAAGTATTAGTAAAGTATTTAAGTAGTTAAGTATTTTTATTTATTATATTATTATTGCCGTTTTCAAGTAAATACACTATGTATTTTTAATTTATTATATTATATGCTTGGAGTGCTCTAAATTTTAGAGAAAATAATGCCGTTTTAAATTAAATACACTATGTATTTTTAATTTATTATATTTATATTTATTTTTATATATTTATTATATTATATGATTGCCGCAGGCGTAGAGTTACCAGAGTACGAGAGCGAGGTTGTCTTCCCAGAAGTCATTTTAATTTATTATATTATTAATACCGTGTTTGAGTAAAAACACGATGTATTTTTAATTTATTATATTAATAATGCCCTTTTTAAATAAAAACACTATGTATTTTTAATTATAATATTATATGATTGATTGCGACAGGCGTGGAGCTACCAGAATACGACAGCGAAGTTGTCTTCCCTGAAGTCACTCCGCTACCTCCTCAGCTTCTGAACTTCGCTGACCTCGACATCAACACTCAACAGCAACTCAAAGACATCTGTGAACGTGATATCTTCACTTTCAACAGGTATATAAGTGCCCTGTCTCTTATACACATCTAGATGTGTATAAGAGACAGCTCAACAGCAACTCAAAGACATCTGTGAACGCGATATCTTCACTTTCAACAGGTATATAAGCTGTCTTTGTAAACATTTACCTCGACATGAACACTCACACAGCCTGTCTCTTATACACATCTAGATGTGTATAAGAGACAGCTTTTGGACAATGACCCACTTTTGGACAATGACCCACTTTTGAACAATGACCCACTTTTGAGCAATGACCCACTTATGAGCAATGACTCACTTTTGGACAATGACCCACTTTTGGGCAATGACCCACTTTTGGACTATGACCCACTTTTGGACAATGACCCACTTTTGAGCAATGACCCACTTTTGGGCAGTGACCCACTTTTGGACAATGACCCACTTTTGGACAATGACCCACTTTTGGACAATGACCCACTTTTGGACAACGACCCACTTTGGGACAATGACCCACTTTTGGGCAATGATCCACTTTTGGACAATGACCCACTTATGGACAATGACCCACTTATGGACAATGACCCACTTCTGGACAATGACCCACTTTTGGACAATGACCCACTTTTGGACAATGACCCACTTTTGGAAAATGACACAATGAACTTTCTTCTCCTCAAGGAGTTCTGGACCGTGTTGGACAATGACCCACTTATGGACAATGACCCACTTTTGGACAATGACCCACTTTTGGAAAATGACACAATGAACCTTCTTCTCCTCAGGGAGTTCTGGACGGTGAAGACATGACGTGTCTGGGGGAGGCGCCCTCCAGTGGAGGAGGTAACCTCATCACAGGCAGCGAGGACGCTGATCCTGAGCTGCTCAAAGGGCGTCTCAGGGACGCCACCAGCAGGCTGTGCAGCGCCCTTACGTCCTTCCTCAGGATGTATTCCCGCGCCTTCAGGGTCGACTTCTATGTGCCTCGCGTCGTCGAGTTATCTGCGGGTAATGTGCCGTAATGATTAATAATAATAATTAATAATAAGATTTAATAATAATTAATAACGACTTCTATGTGCCTTGCGTCGTCGAATTGACTGCGGGTAATGTGCAGTAGTAATGATTAATAATAATAATTAATAAGAAGAACAACGTACAATAATAATGCTGCGTATATATTAAATGATTTCTATGTGGAGTAAATACATCAATGTGCAGTAATGCTGCAGGTAATGTGCAGTAATGATTATTAATAATAATTAAAATAATAATAACATCAATGTGCGCAGTAATGATTAATAATAGTAGAATCAATGTGCAATATAATGTTGGGTGTATATTAAATGACTTCTATGTGCCCCGCGTCGTCGAGTTATCTGCGGGTAAATACATCAATGTGTTGTAATGATTAATAATAATAATTAATAATGACTTCTATGTGCCTCGCGTTGTGGAGTTATCTGCGGGTAGTGTGCAATAATGATTTTTAATAATAATAATTAATAATAATAATAATAATTAATAGTAACATTAACGTGCAATATAATGACTTCTATGTGCCTCACGTCGTCGAATTATCTGCGGGTAATGTGCAGTAATGATTAATAACAATAATTAATAATAACATCAATGTGTAATAATGATACTTGCAAATTAAATGGTTCTACTTGCAGTGTTAAATTTTTTATTTGCAATCTATTTTTTTTATTGAGAATCAATTTCTGGACTAGTTCTAATTTGATGCTAATTTATAGGTGTACCTTAATGCATAAATGTCTATGTTAAATTTATTGTTATGCATATGTTATAGTAGTTATTATATGTTATATATGTTATAGTTATTATATTATAGTTAAAATTATTGTATTAAATGTCTATGTCCGCACCCGAATGCCCGGCTAGCTGTTTGATGGTCAATATTTAAGATTCTACAATCGTTTAAAATATTTTTATCTGTTTAAAAAGGACTGAAATATGTAGTATAAGTGCAACACAATGTATGAATAAAATGCGATATGGGCCCTAAATGTGTCACCCGGAATGCAGACTTTTCTTACCTTATAGATCTTGACACGTTGACTACGTATTGGTACATATGCGTTCCACGAAATGTATTTCTCCAGGAGGTAGTGGTACATAATTCAGGTTGCCTAAAATCGGCCAAATCCGAGAACAAAAAAGGCCAAAAAGGCCGATAATTCAATGTATATACTAGTTTATTTGTAGGTTCCGCTATAAAAATTCCATTTATTTTTACCTCGACATGAACACTCAACAGCAACTCAAAGACATCTGTGAACGCGATATCTTCACTTTCAACAGGTAAGTGCCTTTGTAAACTTTTAATAGCCGCAGTCAGGTAAGTTAGTAACGTATCAGGGATCACAAGTGAAAATTCTTCTTGAAAACTTTTATTGCCAAAATTTTTTTAGCAATTAAATTCAATTAATTTCGATTTCGATTTGAATAAATTTTCTCCCATTACTTTGGCCTTTTGGAAACTTCTATTGCCAAAATTTTCCTGGCAATAATGTTCAATTTATTTCAATTTTTATTTGAATAATTTTTTTTCAATTTACCTTGGCTGCTAGTGGCCTGAATATTACCGATTATTTTAATTATTATTCGTTATTTTAATTATTTAATTCGTTATTTTATTTATTATTTTAATTATTTTCATTATTAATTGTATACAATATTTTAATTATTATTCCTCTACCTGCAGAAGTTCAGCTGATGAGCGAGAAGTACTTAATTATTATTTTAATTATTAATTGTGTAGGTACCGGTACATTATTTTAATTATTTTAATTATTAATTGTGTGCATTATTTTAATTATTATTCATCTATTTGCAGGAGTTCAGCTGACGAGCGGGAGGTGCTGTGGGAGAAACGGCACTACCTTCACCACGAACCCCACGCTTTAGCCAAGGTGAGACTAAATGTAATAGTAAGTATGTTACGTATTATTATAATTTTATATTATATTTTAATATATTATATAATATTATACTGTATTGTATTATATTATTATAAGCCATACTGAATGAACAACATTACCTTCACCACGAACCCCACGCCTTAGCCAAGGTTAGACATAATGCAATAAGTGTGTTATTATTATAATATTATATTATAATATTATATTGTATTGTATTATACTATGTTATATTATATTACATTATATTATTATATTACATGAGCATGACTATAATGCAGGTGCTGCTAGCCGCACACTCCTGGGACGCGTCATGTCTGCCAGACCTGCACAGCCTGCTGCGTGACTGGTGCACCCTCACCCCTGCCCACGCCCTCCCTCTACTGCTGCCTAGGTCAGAGGGTAACTGAGGGTAACTACTGAGGGTAACTAGTGTGCTGCGTGCCTGGTGCACCCTCACCCCTGCCCACGCCCTCCCTCTACTGCTGCCTAGGTCAGGGTAAATCTTTTGTGATTATAACCAGATATTTTTCAAATTTTTGTTATACATACACGTGTTTTAGCGAAAGCTTTAATGTCTAAATAGTCTTATTGTAGAATATTTTCTGTTATATCCTCTAATGATTATAACCAGCTATTGGTCAAATTTTTTGTTATATATACCTACGCGTGTTATAGTGAAAGCTTTAATTACTACGTATATATGCTTAGGTTACAATTATTTCCTTTACATACTCTAATGATTATGACCAGCTATAGGTGATGTACTACCAGAATTAATGATTATTTAAGTATTATAAAGTATTGTTGTTCAATTTTCCGTGAAGGGAGACCGCGTAGGTTATGTTAAAAGAGAAATAATTATGTTCCTGGAACTGAAGTTTGGTTATGCTCACTCTGTAAATCTATTGCTAGACACTAGACCAAGTTATGCTCACTCTGTAAATCTATTGCTAGACACTAGACCAAGTTATGCTCACTCTGTAAATCTGTTGCTAGACACTAGACCAAGTTATGCTCACTCTATCAATCTATTGCAAGACACTAGACCAAGTTATGCTCACTCTATAAATCTGTTGCTAGACACTAGACCAAGTTATGCTCACTCTGTAAATCTGTTGCTAGACACCAGACCAAGTTATGCTCACTCTGTAAATCTATTGCTAGACACTAGACCAAGTTATGCTCAACGTCATGCTTAATTTGTGTACAATTATAGCATTTTTATTCATTCAGGCAATCATTGCCAACGTTGCAAATGGAAATTATCTTTCATCGATATATTCGTAAGATATTGTTCGATCTAGCGAAAAAACTAATAAGAAAATTGTCAATAAAACGAATTCTCTGGTCTTCAATGAAACCTGTTTAAAATGGTCAGCACTAGAAGTGAATATTTGTGTTATGTCAGCACCAGAAGTAAATATTTGTGTTATGTCAGCACTAGAAGTGAATATTTGTGTTATGTCAGCACCAGAAGTAAATATTTGTGTTATGTC